ACATTTCCTTTACAACATAACATCAATAGACCAACATTCTTTAAGAAACCATTTTTGGAGACATTCAAGCACATAAGGGGACTTTCACATAATAGTCGTTAGACTTAGGGAACTCACTTTAGTATCTTCAAAGCCTACTCGTGTCATGTGTAGATAGCATCCCATACTACTACCTACACGTTGTAGAACCTATCCAATAACTAGAGTGCGCATCCCACATGATGGGAATAGACATAACCGACATAGACCATACTAGCTAGGCATGGAATCCGGAGTCTACCCTACTCCGTGGAAGGTGTTCTACTTGCCAAAGGTAGAACTAGTAAGCAACCCATGTAGGCACATGGTTTAGGGGATGTCCAAGGATGTTCATTGTGCCCTAGTCTCATACTCAAGTAGGGCCACCATCCTAACCACATCCACTCGGTGCTAGCCTTGTTTCCCATAGAGTATTTTTATTCACATATGTACTAGAGAGGGTTCCTTTTCTAGTTCAACCAACTCATAGTACCTCTTCCCAAGAAAGGCCCCATTTCTTAGTTATGGCCAATCAAGGTTCATAAGGATAGCTCATTTGACTTTCTTAGATAAGGATTTTCATGCCGTTCCGGCTCCATCCATCTTTAAGTCTATCATCTCACTCAAGAAGGGAACTTCGCCCTAAGGCCCATCCTTCAAGGTTATACATTTACTTAGGAAAGCTAGACTTATGAAAGGGCACCATTTCTTAGTTTTGCCGATTCAAGTCTTGGCCTAGAATTCCTCTTTTAGCATTTATAGAAAAGGGCATCATTTCTTAGTTCTAGCCCACTTCACACATTCATGCATTCAAGACTTTAAGTAACAAGGAGGGACACTTTAGTCTACCAACCAAGTCACAACATTATCATCTAAGGATACTTCATAATCCAACATCATTTCATATATACATCATGAGAAATCATACTTTAACTCACAATGCTATCCACTTTACATAGGATCATCACAAGATCACATAAAACTCATTCACATCATTCATTCACATATAGCTTCACATAAAACTCATTCACATCATTCATTCACATATAGCTTCACATAAAACTCATTCACATCATTCCTTCACCTATAGCTTCACATAAAACTTTACATATAGCTTCACATAAAACTTTACATATAGCTTCATATAGGACTTTACATATAGCCTCATTCATATATAATAATATAACAATACAATAACACTCATATAATGCCCTTCATGGCCTCAATCATAATACATTCCATAAGTAGACACCTCCACCATAAGTGGATCACACATCAATCTATCAAAATTCTATATCAATTCTACATTAACAATGAAGTTAGGCCAACTTACCCTTTTCCAAAGCCACAATCACCATTCCTCAACTCTCCAATAATTCACAATAGATAAACATAGATAATAATAGAAATCAACTATTCAACTCAATTTAAGCATAATTCTATCATCATTCAATCATAAACAATAACCCCACTTCATAAGCCAACTTTTGGAAATTTGCAAAGGCATGGGTTCATGGAATTTCCTTTCTTAAAACCATCAATAATAACATAAATCCTCATTAAAAAAAAAAAACATTTAATGCAAGAACCCATGCTAGAATCGAAATTAGGATTTTGAGTTTTTGAACAACTTTTGAAATCTTTTGGATTGACTCTTTGATTGAAGGAGGAATCAAAGATGAAGAGTCCCCATACCTTAGTATTGAGAAAACCCACGAAAATTTGATGCAAGAAACCTTCAATTCGAAACCCTAGCTCCAACTTGACCTTGGCCTTCAATGGTGTTCTTAAGAGAACCCTTCCTTTTTTTTTGAAGAATGAATTAAAACAACACCTTTTTAAAAGTTTTAATACCATATATAGAAATTAGAAATAATATAAAATATACCCACTTTTTAATTTAACTAAAATTAATATTTACGAAAATGCCCCTTAAATTTCCGAACGGACTCCTTGCCAACTGTCCAACTTTCAAAGGGCATAACTCGCTCATACGAACTCGGAATCGAGCAAACTCGGTGGCGTTGTAAAGATCGTTCCAAGGCTTTTCAAACATAACTGGAACTACTCCTGGATCATCCTGAGCTAGGAGTTATGACTGCTCAAAGTTGGCCAAAAACTCACTGATTTCCACACTTGGCCGAATTTCCAGATTTTGAACTTTTTTTCCAAAAGTGACTACTTCCAATTTATGCTTAAACTTTAAAAATTCATACGTTAGGCTCTAGTTTCACCTATCTATTTTTAGGGTCGCTACAGGTATATTCAATTTTATGTATAATTTTATTACTAATAAAATAAGCAAAAGTAAACCTTTCAATAATTTATGATTTTTATTATAGATAAGTATTAATAATCAGTAATGAAGAAAAAGATATTATAATTATTATTTGAGAAATATCATTACACCAATAATAAAAATATGATTTAAAGCAAAAAAAAGTTTTAAAAAATAAATTAAAAACTCCCGGGCGTACATTTTATGCCCAGGACTTACGTGTTTATGCTTGGGGCTTACGCCTTATGGATCTACGTCTTTAGTTTACCCCCAGAGCGCTTTTGGTACTCCCCACCCCGAGACTCGCCCCAAAAACGTTTTTGAAAACAATGATTAGGATCTAATCACCTACATTTTTCTTTATTTCTTTTCTTTTTGATTTTCTAATAATAGGATCCCTTCTCCTCATAATCCGGGAATTTAAACCATCCTACATATTTATTGAATTATGATGTAGGGTTTAGGCTTAATATCAACCTTAATTTATGAGTCCGAAACTAAAAGGGCAACAATTTTTTTTTGAAAATTCCAAAAGGGTAACTCATTTAATTATGAAACCAAAAGGGCAACAATTTTTAAATCAGGTTTTGTAAAACAAGGCTCAAATTCCTATGAGCCTTGCAGGTTTTTTTTCTTTTTTTAAAAAAATATTCTCGTTTTATTTTTTTGTTTGTTAAAAGTCTAATAATAATAATAATACATAGTTGTAAAATCTGTAAGATTTAGTCCAACTAAGGAAAAAACAATAATATTAAAAAAGGTTCAAATTTATTCTGTTCTAATAGTAGAATTTCATGGGGATAAAAGAATTTCGTAGAAATATCGTTATTTCCACCAATCACTTTTCAGTCATATCTTTGAAAAATAATTACTATTTAGAGATTCTACATATCCCGTTTATCCAATTGTTAACGAATGGACTGGTTTACAAAAATTTTTACCAGCAACACTGAATCTTGGTCTGTCGTATTGTTGTATAAATCAGTTATCCTTAACAATTGGATAAACGGGATATGTAGAATCTCTAAACAGTAATTATTTTTCAAAGATATGACCGAAAAGTGATTGGTGGAAATAACGATATTTCTATGAAATTCTTTTATCCCCATGAAATTCTACTATTAGAGCAGAATAGATTTGAACCTCTTTTAATATTATTATTTTTTCCTTAGTTGGACTAAATCTTACAGATTTTATAACTATGTATTATTATTATTATTAGACTTTTAACAAACAAAAAAATAAAACGAGAATATTTAAAAAAATAAAAATAACCTGCAAGGCTCAAATTCCTATGAGCCTTGTTAGGCCCACTGGTGGCTAAGCCTTACAAGGCTCATAGGAATTTGAGCCTTGTTTTACAAAACCTAATTTAAAAATTGTTGTCTTTTTGGTTTCATAATTAATTGAGTTATCCTTTTGAAATTTTCGAAAAAATTTGTTGCCCTTTTGATTTCGAACTCCTTAATTTATGGGACGTTTTAATCCTTAATTTTCCTTTGTTAAATATTGATTCTTTAAAAAACATAATATTTTAAATTTTCTCATTTGTTTCATATTTGTCCTCTAACTGCTATCCATATAAATTCTCTAAACTTTTCTAATACTTTAAATTTTCTCATTTATTCCATATTGTCCTCGTACGGCCTATCTATTGAAACACTCAGAGGCAACTCAATCCATATAAACACTCTAATTATAGGCGAATGCCTTTAAAAATGAGGACCCAATTTTTTTTGGTAATAATAAAATTATTATATACCAATTTTTTTTTAATCTTGTGATCTTAAATATATCATGTGGAAGTTAAGTTTAAAATCCGTCAAAAAAGTTAGAAACATTTTTTAATATTTCGAAACGAACTAAAAAATATAAATAAATTAAAAGATATAGGATATTATTTAGTTTAAGATTATAGAAAAAATAAAGTTTTTTTATATATAATTTTTTTCTAACTCAAATAAATTAAAAGATATAGTATATTAAAAGAAATGACATATTATATATATATATATATATATATATAGTTTAAGATTATAGAAAAAATAAAGTTTTTTAATTAAAAAAAGAAATAACTTTGCATCTCAAAAATAAAAAATAATTAAAAATTAGGCTCCGATTTATCAATTCCTAGGAATATTCATTTACACACTTAAACTAAATAGTGTTTCTACATTTTAACTCTTAATAAAATGTTCCAATTAGATATTTTTGTGTGGAATTCTTATTCATATATTAGATAGTTAAATTAACCAAATAGAATATATTAAATTAATCATGTAAAATATGTCATTTTTTTTAATTATATCACACTTCATCAATAAGTAATAAAATCTTAGATATAAGTAATAAAATCTTAGAATGAGAGAACATGTTTGATATTTTTTCTTCAAAATTTGAATCGAAAGAGTTTAATTGAAATATTATACTAGAAAATTGAGGTGTTTAATTAAAATATAATTTAATTCAAATATCTAAATAAAATATTCTAATAAATTTAACGGCTTTTTAACAAATCAATGCATATTAAGTGGAACATTTCCACTGGAGACTTTTTCATCAGCCTCCTTTTAGTCCATTTCTCTCTAATTATTCGGAGTCATGAGATTTTTAGGTTTTACTCTTTGCAGATTCTAAGCTAACCTCATCAGTTATTCATTTCAACTTTTGTAATCCAATATTCATCCACCAAAAAAAAATAAAAATGTCCGGAGTAAGCATCAAACAGATACTATGTATATTCATTTATGGTGTGTTTGTAGTCTCTTCTTTGGCAGAGATAGGGTTTTCAATTTGGTTACATTTCAGCGACAGTGCTACTCTTTGCCAGAAAGTGTGGCAGAAACCTTTGCTGATACTGGGATTGTTTATGCTGGTTGTTTCAGGTTTGATATTAGTTGATTCGTTCTGCCGATCAGGCACATTTATCAGTAGGATATGTTCGATTTCGTTGTACTTGATCATTTTGGGACAGTTCTGTTTGTCGTTGTTCGTAGTTTTGGTCACTAATAGAAATGTGAGTAGGATTTTATTTGGGAGAGATGGAAATTACTCGCATTACTTGTTGAACAAGTATGTATTGAATACCGAGAATTGGGAGCCGATTAAGAGATGTTTAGTTGATTGCAAATTTTGTGAACCTCCAACTGAAACAGATTCTTACTACAAATACATCTTCCCTGTTACTCAGGTTCTTAATTACTTCTCTTTCTCCTTTTTTTCAATGAATCTACGAGATATGCCTTTCAATTTAATATTAATCTTTAACACAGTGGAAACAAACCATACTAATTATATCATAAGCATGTCCCAGATCTTATAGAAACATAAAAAGTACTCCCTTCGTCCAATCATAGTTGTCCAATGTATCATACCACTTACGATAGTCCGAGATATATTTATCATTTTTCCCTTTTTATTATATTCAAAGGGTGATATAATAAAATTACCCTCTATTTATAGTTTTTTAAGAAGTGTGCAAAGTCAATAGTGAACAAATATTGTTGGACGGAGGGAGTAACAGAAATCGACGGACTAGATTATATTAGTTTATATTAACTTACATATTTGTTTTCGTGCATGCGCGCAGTCGAGCTGTTGCCAGCCTCCTACTTATTGCGGCTTGGAGTTTCACAATGCTACCTACTGGACCATGCCCAAAGCAGGGCCGGCGGTAGCAGGCAATGACTGCAAGATTTGGAGCAATGTACAGTCCGAGCTCTGCTTCAATTGTCAATCATGTAGAACACCATTCCTTGATGAACTCCATTTTGAATGGAAGTTATGTTCCATTGCCTGCTTTGTATTCTCGCTTGTCTTTTACTTTGTTTGCAGTGTTCAGTGGTGTATTCGCAGGGGAAAGAAATCAAAAGGATGCCAAAAACGCAAAGTATCTGCATGAGCCATATTGGTTCGTCCCATTTCCAATTTCCTAATGTTTAGTATTTGTTTGACCGAAGCTTCGTTTGGATGGTATAAAACATTGATATATTGTACGTATTTCATTATTTACTATTATTGAATCTGTTTTTTCTTACTTATATACGGCTTTATATATACACATTCTTGAATTTTGATCAGTTGGGCTTCCGCTTGTTTATCTCTAATATGGACTAACAAAGACAAGTTATCTTACCGCTAGTATTGGACATCCTAATGTAAGCACCTAACAATTCAAGTATTGAGTTATTACTCTATTCATAGTTTTTTTCTAATTCAAAGTACTAAACCTGGATAGGTAAAAGTACATTAATGAAGCATAATAAGTAATGTCGTCTTCTTTACGTGTGCTGAAATCTCGTTCAACTACTCAAATGAGTTCATCCTCTCTGGAAAATGAGAAGGCAAAATGTTTCATCAAGTGAATCACACAAGTTTGTTGCACTTCCATAATGCGTAACGTTGATTGGACCAGTTTTGAGGGCAGCAATTTGTTTACTGGAAATTTCAGTGAGTTTGCTGAATTCAATAATCTTGTTGCATTTAACATAAGCAACAAGTCCTTTACGGGCGGCCTTGAAGGTTGCAGCTTCTCCAACAATTCATAATTTCATGTAACATTGTTTCGTCTAAATTTAATACAAAAAAAAAAGAAAAGCAAATGAGAATAAAATTTAAATAGCGACCTCAAAAAGGCAATGCAGTGCAAATTCCACTGATTAAATTATATCAACCTCTTGTTAAAATATTTCATTTAGACAATCAAACTAAGTTTTATTTCAATTATTCTAATTAGACACGTTTGGTTCAAAATTTGAAATTTTTGTGTGTGTTCTGATTCGTCATTTTGATACTTAAATTAACCACACAAAATATGTCATTTCTTTTAATTTTATTCATCGCCTCAATAAGCTGTAAAACCCTAGCTAGATATTCTCTACTTGAGGTTGATGCAGTCGAGTTGTTGCAACTTACTTATTTGTTATACAACTTAGATATTTGTTTTCGTGCATGCAGTCGAGTTGTTGCAAGCCTCCCATTTATTGTGGCTTGGAGTTTCACAATGCTACCTACTGGACCATGCCCAAAACAGGGCCGGCGGTAGCAGACAATGACTGCAAGATTTGGAGCAATGTACAGAGAGAGCTCTGCTTCAATTGTCAATCATGTACGACGGCATTCGTTGACCTCATCCAGGAAGATTGGAAGATGTATTCCCTCATCTACTTTGTACTCTTACTTGTTTTCGAATTTGCTTGTTGTGTTAACAGGAAGAACAAATCAAATGGATACCGAAGACATAAAGTAAACCCTGCATGAGCCATATTGGTTCGTTCCATTTCGCATATTTTCCTAATGATTAATATTTGTTTGTCTCAAGATTGGTTTGGATGGTTGGTATAAAACATTGATATTGTACTCATTGTTTACTATTACCGAGTCTGTTTATTCTTATTTATATATGGCATTATTAATTTTAAGTAATAAGTAATGTGATCTTCTTTACGTGTGCTGAAATCTGGTTCAACCAGTGGCGGAGCCACCCTATCTTTAGGGGGGTCATCCGACCCCCCTTCGGCGGAAAATTATATTATTTTTACTTGGTTAAAATAATTTTTTATGTATATATAGTAGATGTCGAACCCCTTAGGCTACTTCGTGTGTCTATTTCTTCAAATTTTGAACCCCCTAATTAAAAATTCTGGCTCCGCCACTGGGTTCAACTACTCAAATGAGTTCATCCTCTCTGGGTAAATGAGACGGCAAAATGTTTCATCAAGTGAATCCCGCAAATTTGTTGCAGATGCATAGTGTGTCACTTTAACTGGACCAGTTTTGAAGGCACTTATTGATGGATTAGAGTCCATCCACTACATCTCTCAATATATTTCCAGCAATTTGATTACTAGAAGTTTCAGTGTGTTTGGTGAATTCAACGACCTTGTTGCATTTGACATAAGCAACAATGTTCCTTTACTGGCATCTTTAAGGATGAAATTTGCAGCTTCTCCGACAATTCATATATAGCCTTAACAATATGCCTTTAATGGCGTATGAAATTTGCAGTTAACAATTCATTTAGCCTTCCGTGTTTTTTTTATATATATAAACGAGAACAAAATTTAAATAGTGACCTCAAGAAAGCCAGTGCGAATTCCACTGATTAAGTTATAACAACAATTACAAAAAAGTTAGTAATAGCAAATTCAGTTTGCCTTTTCGTTTAAAACACAATCTAACAATAAAGTTTGAAAGTATGTATTTGTGTATGGGAACTTGATTTTTTAGTGCCAAAAATCCAAGGCTGGAGATCATTTTTTCTTTTCGCAAAAAAAAAAAGTATTTAAAGAGGACTACGAAAATTCGTAAATTTTAAATTGATGATTTTAATTTATTTTGTAATTTATATTTTTTACATAACAAATTTGATTGAGTGATTATATAAGAGAGAGTCTCTAAGTTGAGTGATTTTGTTGAAAACTTGAAATGAAACAAGGAGTTAAATCACTTTACTAAATAATTCTTTGTATTTGACTAATCCTTTGAGATATTTACTCTAATTTATTTTATTAAACACCAATTTAAAACGGATCAAATAAATTTTATATAATGGATTATTAATTAGTATTGATTATTGGATCTAAAAAATACATGTATAAAGTTGTCATTTCCGTAACTAACTAAAAGGGTTAAATACTTAACTAACTAATGCATACTAACTGGATGGCTACAATATCACGGAAACAATTGTTCACTTTCATAAGATTTAGGGTTTTTACTTGCAGATTTTAGGAATCAGATTCACGGTATTTTTTTCAGCTTTTTTTTAATCTGTTCACGGTAATAGAAAATGTCAGGAGTAAGATGCAAATTCATACTTATATTCCTTTCTGTGGCACTCATAGGGATTTCAATTTGGTTACATTTCAGCGACAGCGCGACTCTTTGCGACAAAGTGTTGGTGAAGCCTTTGCTGATAGTGGGAGTGTCTGCACTGTTTTATTGGGTTATTAGATTGGTTGAATCCTTGTGCCGAGCCAAATTTATCGTGTGTATATGTACGATCTCGTTGTTGTTGTTCAGTTTGGGACTCATCTGTTTTACAGTGTTCTCAATTTTGGTGACTAATAGAAAAGTGAGTAGGGCTTTATTTGGGAGAGATGGAGATTACTCACATTACTTGTTGGAGAAGTATGTGATGAATGCAGAGCAGATTAAGAGCTGTTTGCTTTATTCCGAAACTTGTCAACATCTACCTACTGGCAAAGGGGCTGATTTTTACAAATACAGCCTCTCTCATACTCAGGTTCTTAATTATAGATCTAGACTACGTAATGAATATGCCATAATTACTATATGCTTCTGAGTTTAAGTTAAAAATTATATCAACATATTTATCACATGTTAAAGTTTATGGGTATTATAAAAACTGCTGAACATGCCTTTTAACTTGGTCTCAACTGCATATTTATCATTTATGCTACACATATTCTAATACACATGATATCAAATAAGACACATGCGTCTACTTGTTCAATTTTTATATAAATTTAAGTGCCTAGGGCATAAATGCCAACCTCGGTGGATAGATACCTTTGCAGTATTATATATGTCAGTGTATACAACTTAAATCTTTTGTTTTGTTGCATGCAGTCGAGTTGTTGCATGCAGTCGAGTTGTTGCAAGCCACCCACTAACTGCGGTTTGGAGTTTCACAATGCTACTTACTGGACCATGCCTAAAGCAGGGCTGGCAGTAGTAAACAGTGACTGCAAGATTTGGAACAATGTACAGACTGAGCTTTGCTTCAAATGTCAATCATGCAAGACAATATTCTATGACTTCATCCAGAAACGTTGGAAGATCTTGTCCCTCTTAAACTTTGTCATACTCCTCTGTTGCTGTGTTTTGTGCTATGTTCTGTACTTGATCAACAACAGGTCAAAGGGACACCCAAGGCACAAAGTATTCCCTGCAGTTTGAGGTCTATTGGTTCGTTCCATTTCCATCTTCCTAATGATTAATATTTGCTTGTCTCGAGATTGGTTTGGATGGCTGGTGTAAAACATTGATATTGTATTCATTGTTTACTATTACCGAGTCTGTTTATTCTTACCTATATATGGCATTATTAATTTTAAAACATATACACATTCTTGAATCTTGAAGGCACTTATATGATCTTTGCTGTGTTCAGTGCTATTATCTGATCTGGTTCATCAACTGGTCAAAGGGACACCCATGGCAACGAGTATACCGTGCCTGAATTCTATGGGTTCGTTACATTTCCATTTTCGTAATGATTAAAACTTGTTTGACTGAAGCTTGGTTTGGATGGAATGAAACATTGATATTTTTTTTATTGTTACTATTATTAGTAGCGACGGATTCAAGATTTTCATTAAGGAGGTTTGAAAAATAAAAATTCAAAAAAATGTGTCATCACCATTTGAAGTCATAATTGAATATATATTAACTTACCTACTCAGAGGCACTATATTATTCCCAGGTTCCAACCAACTGTATCGAATTTTTGTTTAATACATGTAGTTCTAAGTTTCATATAATTTTAGGTAAAACTATATAATTTTAGGTATGTTCACAAAATAGTATTGACTTAAATTTTTCTTTTGTTTAAATCTGTATAGATTCACAACCAACCCCCGCCTTGCACCCGTATAACCTAAAACCAGCCCGCCCCGCTCCACGTCACTTTGTTTTGTTTAAATCCGCATAGATTCGCAATTTGCCTCACCTTGCATTAATTTAGAAAAATATATTTCAACCCGCCTCGCATTTGCATAACCTAAAACCCGCTCCGCATAGCTTAAAATTCGCCCCGCCCCGCCTCGTTTCCATCCTTATGTGCAGTGCAGGAGACGTGTAGGGTTCTGATTCAGGGTGATCAGTTACTTTTTTCAACTTCTGGTATCCGTTCACCGGAGAAAAGAAAATGGCACGAGTAAGCCCCAATTGCATATTTGGATGTGCGTGTCTAGTGGTTTCTCTGGCATTCATAGGGTTCTCAGTTTGGTTACATTTCAGCGACATCCCTACTCTCTGTGTCAAAGTGTTGGAGAAGCCTTCGTTGATACTGGGATTGATTGTACTGATTTCTTTGGGTTTTGGATTGATTGTGGCCTTCTATCCAGTCAAATTTATCTTCTGGATATCTAAGATCTTGTACTGTTTGAACCTTTTGGGACTCCTCTATTTTGCGGTGTTCTCAATTTTGGTCACCAATAGAAATGTGAGCAGGGCTTTATTTGGGAGAGATGGAAATTACTCGGATTACTTGTTGGAGAAGTATGTGATGAATGCAGAGCAGATTAAGAGTTGTTTGGTTGATTTCCAAGTTTGTCCGAATATACCTACGGGCAAAGGGGCTGAATTTTACAAATATAGCCTCTCTCCTGCTCAGGTTCTTAAATAGAAAATTTATATGTCATATGCTTCTTAAGTTTAAGTTAATTCAAAGTATTAAATCTTTTCTTTATTGGTTGCAGTTGAGTTGTTGCATTTTACCTGCTCAGTGCACCTTGGTGCTTCAAAATGATACTTACTGGATTATGCCCAAAGCAGGGCCAGCAGTAGCAAATAATGACGGCAAGAACTGGAGTACCGTAGAGAGCGAGCTTTGCTTCAACTGTCAATCATGCAAGACAGCATCCTATAATATCATCAAGAAACATTGGAAGATCACATCATTCATCACTCTTTTCATAGTCTTTGTTTGTTGTGTTGACTTCTGTGCTCTCAAAATCAAGAACAGATCAAAGGGACCCCAAAGGAACAAAGTATACCCTGTTTGAGCCCTATTGGTTCGTTATATTTCCATTTCCATAATGGTCAATATGAAGCTTGGTTTGGATAGTATAAAACATTGTATTGACATTGACATTGACATTGACGGAAGGAGGTTTAAAAAATAAAAAATATTATCAAATTTCGAACTCCAAAACAATTTATTCAACTTCTAATTTTGTGTTTAGGTCTATGATTTTTTTGTCAAGGGGGTTTACGTGAATACTCTCCGCTCCCTGATTGTCGAGTTTGTTTATTCTGTTGGGTTAAAGTAAGGTGTGAATTGAGAAATGAGAATTGGGAAATGTGAGGGAACTAAGTAAAGTCTCTCATTGGTAGAAGAGAGGAAAAATTGTCCTTATATTAGGAAACAATTTCGCTAACTCTCAAAGATTAAGTAGAGGGTGCCCCTCACACCTTAACTAATTTGACACCATGCTTGTTCCTCTACTGAAATCCTTAGTTTATCCGCAAACCCTGAAGCTTCCTAATGTGATCGGGAGTTTGACACATTTAGAGCAGCTAGCTAGCTGCACATTCTAATAGATTTCTGGACCATTGCGGTCTACAACTTCATGCACATCTTTCTGAGCTTAGGATGCTTGATGTTACTATCAGGACAAGGTTTTGCTGGAACTTATATTTACTTGAGTAACGTACACCTGCCATCAAACTTGAATCCATTGAATATAGTGTTATGGCTTAATTGAATCATTTTTTATTTATTTTTTTAATGACAAGGGAAACCCGCAGCCGCTACCCTTTGGATGTGCACAGGGTAAAATCCTCGCTCCTATGCAATAGCTCGCAAACCACATAGGAGAGGTAATCCGCACTAGGCAAGCCCGGCGCGACGAGCTCGACCCAGAAGGCAAACCCCTTGCTTTCGCCGGCAAGGGATTTCAAACTTGAGACCTCCAACATGGAGGTCTCAAGCCCAAACCACTGGGCCACCCCGAAGGGTCATCGTTTTTCATCATTTCATAATGTTACAGAGACTTATAACATTATTATAAAGAAAAAGTCATGAACTAATAGTAAACACCAACAAAATTCAACTATTTTAATTTCTTACCAAGAGCTGATCTAGCCTCGAGCAAATTAAACATGGAACACGCAATTAGCTATATATACTGAAGAAACTTTAAAAAAACAAGCAATAGTAAACAAAGTGTAAATTTTATAAAATAAATCATTACAACACAACATGGAAAAAGTTTCAAGGAAATTGCTCTTCTTATTAGTCACTTCCTGACTGGTAGAAATTAAGTTTCATTTGACAAAGATTGCCGATCATTTTGTACATTTTGGCGTGATGACTCTCGTGTTTGTGTTGATGTTTTTTGTCAAAGATCCTGATGATGACATGGAAAAGAAATAATCAAAAGTTGTAACTTTAAAGTAATTTTTCTTTATTTTTGTTATTTGTTGCCTATATTTTTCTGAAAATACATTTGCTATAGAGAAGGAACCAAATAAGTGTGTTTTTTACGGAATTTTAAAAGTTTTACCAAATAAGAGAACAGTCTAATCCCAACTTCTCCCTATATTTTAGGGCTTATCATCTTTAACTGAGTCAACAACTGCTCTTTAATGGCTAAAATATAGAGACTACTACTTAATTAGTTTGTTGTGATTTTGCAGTTTGTGTTTGAAATTTTATAAAGTTAATTTTTCAATTTTCAAAATCTATGCATACAAAAACACAAAGAAAGATGGTACGAGTAAGCAATTTCATAATTACATTTCTTAATTGTGTGACTCTATTGGTTTCTCTGGTAGCCATAGGGTTTTCAATCTGGCTCAATTTCAACCACAGCGCTACACTTTGCCAGAAAGTGTTGCAGAAGCCTTTACTGATACTGGGAGTATGTCTCCTGGTTGTTTCGATTTTGGGATTGGTTGGATCCTTGTGCCGAGTCTCGTTTGTCCTCTGGATATATTTGTTTTTGTTGTTTTTGCTCATTGTGGGGTTGCTCTGTTTCACGTTGTTCGCAATTTTGGTAACGAATAAAAATGTGAGCAAAGCTTTATCTGGGAGAGGTTATAAGGAAATCAAATCTGGAGATTACACCAACTGGTTGCAGAAGTATGTGGTAAATGAAGAGAATTGGGAGGAGATTAAGAGTTGTTTGGTTGATACCAAATTTTGTCAGAGTATACCTACGGGCAAAGGGGCTGATTTTATAAATACAGACTATCTCATATTCAGGTTCTTATCTTTTGTCTTTACCCATTATCTCATTTCTCAGTGAATTCGTATGGAAGTGTGTAGTGAGAATTTAGAGTTTATGAGTTTTGAATTTGCCAAAAAAATCATAGTCATGGATTCAGAATTTATAATGGATTTCCTAATACAAATGCATGATCTAAACAGAAGTTATTGGGTTTGTCCAAACCCTAAGTTATACTCTCCCGTCACCCCGACTATAGTATTTCTGAAATTAAGTTCATTGCATTGATGATGCAACAAATATCTATACAATCAGGTAACTTGAATTCAGTCACACCTATAAGTCCGCTACTTCAAAGACATTGCCTCGCTTAGATCGTGAGGATGATAAGCATTTGATGGTGTTTTATGTTTCGGTAAAAGAAGATTTCTAAAGCAAAAAAGAATATCTTCATTCTGATTGTGACTTGAATGTTTCATTCTGATGACTTGGAAGTTTATCACATGTTGAAATTTATTAATGTAGTATAAATAATAATTACTTCACTATGTTAATGTTTATAACTTGAATCTTTGTTTTGGTGAGTGCAGTCGAGTTGTTGCAAGCCACCCACTTACTGCGGCCTGGAGTTCCACAATGCTACTTACTGGACCATGCCTAAAGCAGGGCCAGCGGTAGCAGATAATGACTGCAAGATTTGGAGCAATGTACAGAGCGAGCTCTGCTTCAACTGCCAATCATGTAAGACATCATTCCTTGACCACATCAAGAGAGATTGGAAGACATGTTCCCTCGTCAACCTTGGCCTCTTACTTCTCGTCCTCTTTGTTTATGGTGTTGGCTGCTGCGCATTCAGGAACACCAAATCTAAAGGGAAATAATAGGCAAAAAATATTCCCCGCATGAACCATGTTGGTTTTTTACATTTCCATTTTCCTAGTGAATGTTTGTTTGACTGAAACAAGACACTGATGTTGTAATTATTGTTTATTACCGACTTCGCTTTTCCATCTAATGTTTAGCTATTTGTATGTTTATTTCTAATTTATATGGCATTATTAGTTCTAGACATTCATTCTTGAGTATTGATCAGTTGTGCTTCACTCTTTTTCTCCACCTAATATGGACTAGCAAGAGAAGATGTCTTACCGCTGGAGATTGCCCACAATTCGAGTATTGTGTTATTACTGTTCACATTTTTTTCTGATTCAAAGCACTAAACTGGATATGTAAAATTGACAATGCTGGAAAAAAGAACCTGAACAAGTAGTAGGGTGAGGTTGTGCTAAAAAAATTATTTAGTCAAGTAACACCTGCCATCAAACTTAATTTTGTTACCTCTTCCTATCATAATAAAGTGCCCCAACCTTATTCTAGTGGTCAAAAGCCAGAAGACGCACATCATCACATTTATGAAGCAAAATTAGTACCATCTTCTCTACATATCCTGAAATCAGCCTCCACAACTCAAAAGAGTTCATATCTGGTAAATGTTTCAAGTGAACCACGCAAGTTTGCCGTACATGCTACATTGAAATTTCAGGTGAATGTGATCAGATTGGGCCTTTGATGTCATTTTAATCACTTTATATCCTCCGTTCCTCTTGATATAACAATAAGTTAGCTCTAAAAAAAGAACAGAAAAATGCCAGGAATAGAAGATGAAGGAACCAATAAGAAGATCAGTTGTAGCAAACAGAACAGTTTTTCCCACTAAAATTTCACTTTATCCTGGCAAAAGGAGAACCAATGAGCCCAGATACATGTATCTTCAACGTACATCATTTGAAAATCAAGAGTAAATGGAAGATAAACATTGATCGTAACTCCTACTAGTTTGGTAACAATTTCTAATCGCCATATAGCTAGCTCGAAGGTACAAAGTATTGGAGGAACGCCTTGAATTAAGCAAGATGCAATATGCCAAAACTGCTGCAGTAAAACAGGTTCTCTAGAGTCTCATTTGAGAAAAGTACAGGACAGAAACAAGGAAACATATATGAATAGAGACGTTAAGAGTTCAAGACTCCATGTTGGTTGCAGCAGAAATGAAGGAATCATGGGAACCAACAGTGAACCACAAAACCAACCAGCCACAAGGCCTCCAAACCTGATACGTAAAAGGTGCACACTTATTAATAGTATAAGAAGTCAATGATGAAAGTGAAATATCAGAAAATGACTGGAATTTAGAAACTAGCATCTTTTTTACCATCCAAAATTGAGACAATCCATCAACTTACCCTATAAGAGCAGCTCTACCTAAGCTCTTTGTCTTGTCATTAAGGAAGTATACACAAGCTCCAAATGATATTGCTACCTGCATAAAAAAGAGGTATTTGTAAATAAAGCTGGAATTAATTTATTTAAAATCTTGAAAAGCTTGTCAGCGCCAGTTATTTCAAGGCGTAGAAATTATCAGAAAACATGATCCAGAATGAAAGCAGCCAAACCACTATACCATCCACAGCTGCTCAATACAAGCCTTGCGTTATTAAATGCAGGTCAAACTCTGAAACTGTCTGCATATTCAACTAAAACATCGGAGAATAACTGCAATTTACATCACTTTTAGTCTTCCGACCTTTTATACTATTATGGAGTTAAACCTGAAAAATCGAATAGTCGCTGATGAGTATAGGCAGTTAGACCCTCGAGAGATACTGAGAAAGCCATTCCCCAGAAATACATGATGCTGATAGTTCACGACCCTTCTTATGGTAAAAGCCGGAGCCAGAATGGAAGGATTGCTGAGAGATGTTCCAGAGTACATGATTATTTAAAAGGTTCTCAAGTTTCCGATGGTCGAGTTTGGGAACTATAACTGTCAAGAAAAGGAATCTTGGTCCTAATTGAATCACCAGCTCTACTGGTAGGTTAGTAAAAAGAAGACTACAACCCATATACTTAACTGATGGAAGAATCTAGCACCTCCTAGCACACCTAGTGTTAGACATAGCATAGAGTAACTTAATAAGGGTGGCCCAACACCTGGGTCTGACTTTGACAAGAAAATGGACACTAGGCCCAAGTTAACCCAAAAACCAGCTCAATTAGTGAGAATTGTCCAGAACTCTATAACAAGGCTACAACTCATACACTTAACTGATGTGGAAACAAACAATACTATAAAGAGGTCAATACTCATTTATTTAAACCAGAGCCCCCCTCCGTCCTTTCTTCTCTCTAAAAACGGCAAAATACAAATGACAATGTTCAACAAGGATATCTTGGTGCAATGAGATTCCCAGGCAGCAAGGGACATCCAGCTGAATATGATCAAGAAATAAGTATTTTGCAATTTTTTTGATGAAGAAGATTTAAGTTCTTTGCTCTTTACAGACTAATCAGTAGTTCTTTATTTACAGAAGAATATTGACTTTTGAATTCTGTTCACATACTGCGTTGGGTATCCTTATCTTTCTCTTTCCTTTTTTAATCAATTATGTCTCCTTATGTTATCAAATTTATCTACTTTTTGGTTTGATAGGTAAGGGGGCTTGCAATACATGTACAGTCCATAATCGCAGTAGAGAAACTATCAATAACATAAAGAGTTAAATTTATGCTTTACAAAGTAGGTAAAAGCCAAACTGTTTTTTATGACGGTGCTGTCCGAGCAAGTTTGCGTGCACCTAGACTATTCCACGGGAACCCGCGCTACCTACCACTAGCATAGAACATGATAACTCTGCCAACAAGAGTTAGACAGGGAAGAAATCACCCAGATCTTACTTTTTATGACAATGGTGTCAGAAGTTGTACAGATCTTTACCAACTATTAGACTTATGTCAGAATAAATTTGCACTGATTAAGAAAGATATTCACTGCAAGGTACAGTGTGGTCGTAAGAACATGCCCTCCCATCACCTGGATATTGGCAAATCAAATGAGATTTGAAGACTTATCACGGATAAAAATTGAGACGGAACAAACCTGGAATGCAGGGCCAGCTTCAGCAGAGTTCATCACACTCCAGCATGCCATGAATCCAAAGAGGAATAATCTCCTCAAGATAATTACAGGTGGTGGAAGTTCCACAAAGCTGAGGAGGTTCTGAACCCATGGAGGAGATTCCTCGACTTGCTTTTTTAGCCTTGTTTTCAAGTTAATCTTTGTCTTCTTTCTATTTATGAAGCTTTTCATTAGTATCTTCTCAAAAGCAGCTTCAATTGATTCTGCACTTCTCTCATGATTGGCATACTGGTTTAACAAAAAGTTGCGCGAACTCCAAACTTCTTCTTCGGAGGCATCACGGCTTATTCCAAGACGTTTGTAAGGGTCCCAAACATTCAATCGAGAAAACTTCGGAACGTTACCTTCAGAAATCAGATCGTGAACATCAAACTAGATGTTTCATGCTAGAATGTTAATCAAACAACTCGTAAAGAACCAGAGAACAAACTTACACATGTAACTTAACCAATGCCAAACGAGAAGTTACTTTAACTACAATTTTCCCTCTGTTACCACTCATTGGTAACATAAAGAAGTTACCTAAGTTAAAAAAAGCTGACGGTCTTTCTCATTAATTTGGCAAAGGGTGAAAGATTAAAGCTTCAGAAGATATATGTGCACCAGAATTCTTGTTTAAATCCTTCTATCATTTTCAAGGTTGTTTTTAATAGAAAAAATTAGAGATTTTCCATCTCTACAATTCTTTTGATATAAAGTTCCCCTACTAAATACTTAATTCCGAATCAGCATCTTGAGCAACCAAGACTCAATACCCTTTTAACATTGTAACACAAATTTCAAAACTAACCCAAAATCTTACCGGCCAAGGAGTTATTAATCTAAAACTATCATAAATCATCAATTAAAGTTGTATGTTATATCTGCTTGCAGTTCCCTTTTCATAGTAGCATCAATACATAGAGTTTTCAATTTGATAGGTGTTAATTAGTATTAGAAAACCCACCTCCATAAGCCGTATCCGTTGCACATTTTGTACCCTTTGAAAACAAACGAGAGGGCTCCGACCTCTTCGAATTTCCTCTACTCGAACTGCACAAAGGTTTAACAAATAGTAGGAACTTTAACATACCAACAACAAATTAATAGATCCCAAATGCTCAATACGACTTATAATACACAAGATAACCCGCATACAATTTCTCTAAGCAGATACTAAGACAACTTACAGTTTTTGGCCGAGGAAAGCAGAGGAAAGGGAAGGTTTCAATATGAGAGTTGCCGCCATGAAATTCGTTCTCTCCAATAGAGAAAAAAACCCTAGATTTTGAACTGATTTCTTATTGTGGAGAAAAAATTTCCATAGAGGCCGTGCCGGCCGAGAGGGTTTACTCCGGTTAGGTGGAATTTGAAAGCCGTGGAAGAAGGAAGGAACTTCTTGCTAAGCTTTTCGATTATGTATATGGTGAAAAATAGAAAGAGGTATTAGGGAGCTAGGTGCGCATTGTACACCCCCATTCTACAAGTAATTTAATTCACTTCTGGTCCTCAAATTGTATATTAATTCCAGTTCACTCCCATTGTATTGTATTCCATTCTTGGTCCTCAAATTTGCTTACTTCCATTATAATCTATGTGACATAGGATTTTTACTTGATATTAAGTTTTGAAAAATGAAAAAATAACTTTGATAATTTGTGATTTTATTAAATATAATATTTGTATGACCAATAATACTATGCGAAATAGATCATGTATACCCTTCGTTATATTTTGGGATAAAAAATGTCTTCGTCGTTATCCCAAGAGACCACAAATACCTTCAAGAGTTAACACTCCAAATTTTTAGTGACGTGGCAATTCAAATAGGACTAATCCCTCCACCTAAGCATTGCCAACTAGGGTTCACTACAAAAGAACTAAACCTTTAGCGGCGACACAAGTCGCCACAAAATCCCAGAATATCGTCTAAAGGTTTTAACTGATTTTTAACATTAAATTCTAATTTTGTGTTTTTTTTCTTCATTGTTTTTTAAAAATTACAAATGATATCGATCAAGGAAGAGTTTGAAGACACTATATGTTTTGTTTTTATGTCATATGTAAATGCATAAAATGTACAATGATGCATTATGTAGTAGGAGATTTGAATCGATAAGTAATTTTGATGATTTTCGTAATAATATTGGATGTTTTTAATATTGATAGTGCGTGTTATTTATTTTAGAAATTAGGTTGCAACCGAAAATTAATTATCATATTTTTTTGTTGAAAAAATATGTTATACTAGGGAATAGTTGTTGCAGCCTTAGTCGCCACTAAAAATCACTCATAACTTTTAGTGCCAATATTTTGGGATTTTGTGGCGACTTTTATCGCCACTAAAGGTTTAGTTCTTTTGTAGTGAATCCAAATTGGCAACGTTTAGATGGAGGGATTAGTCCCATGTGGCTTGCCACATCAATAAAAATTTGGGTAGTTAACTCTTCAAGGTGTTTGTGGTCTCTTGGGATAACGGCGAGGGTATTTTTGATCCCAAAACGTAATGGAGGGTATAAGTGATCTATTTCGCATAGTTCAAGGGTATATTTGACCCTTTTCCCCATTCAATATAAATTCGGTTCAATGTTAGAAAAATTCGATTATTTTGTGCAATTAGTCTAGTGAAAGGATAGTCAAATTGCGCTTAAACAACCAGATTAACCACAAAATTATTATTGGATAATTGTTTATATGCTTCATTATTATCATAGCATTAGTTCTAATCATACTATATACTAGAAGTTGCGGCTGCAGCTGAAACTTATTGAAAGACCGAACAGAATGAAAAGTTTGTACAACAACAAATGTAAATAAACTTTCCCTCCCACTTTGGCTTTGGCTGATTTTTTGAGAACGGGGAGTAACATAGGTCACAGTCTAGAGCCAACTTGAGAAAATTGCTGTCTCAATACTCTTCTCATCACTTTATTTGTTGCTGTTCTTGGAAGTGAAGGGAGGGCTACTATATGTGAAACCTGCAATATTTTAGACTGGATAAGGAAACATTAACTTTCAAACTTTGTATTACCAAAACTGAATATTATGTGCATACCTTGAATAGAGGATTCAATTTCTTCTGCAAAGCTGAGTTGAGAGAAACTTTCAATGAATTCAAATTGTCCTTTGACCCCTTAGAATCCTTAAATACAACAGCGATAACTAACTTATCAGGGCCACCTCCAGGTGGTGGCACCCCAACGGCTGCTGTCTCGAGGATACTTTCATCAACTGCATTACAAACTTTCTCAATCTCCACCGAACTTACCTGGCAAAAGGATCATAAGTTTCAGTCACGGGTAAGAGAAAACAATACGTAAAGTTGACTGCAACAACTACAGCTGATAAGCTAGAAGGGAGAATCTGTGTTCATAAATACACAAAGGTACAAAGAACAAATAGATGAAAGGGACCAAGGACCACTTGTTATGCCTCAAAGAAACAATTTCTGATAAATAACACCAACAGTTATTGTTTTATTTATGGAGCAAATATCAGTTATGATGAGTAGTAGTATTGGTTTAGTTGAAAATTTGACAAAATAGTCTCAAGTAATAACCTTTTTTTTCAAATGAAGTCTTACAACAAAGAGACCCTCATAATTCATGATTTTTTAATAACAATACAAGGTAAAGCATAGACCTTTACACCCCCCAGATTCATGGTGTCATCTGCACGGCCATGTGCACGGTAATAACCTCTAGAAGTACGCTCAAATACATCTCCGTGTCTTCTAAGAACCTGCTAGGTAGTTAGTAACACATTAAGTACTTATCTGGAAAAAGAATAAAGTGCCAAGGTAGAATCAGAAATACTACTAACCTTTCCATTCCAAACTGGCATTCCTTTGTAGTATACACCATAGTGGTCAGCATTCAACAATGTGCTTGATGCCCCAAATAGAAGGGGACCAAGGGCCAATTCACCAACCCCAGGAGAATCAAATGGCTACAATTAGAGTTAACAGAATTACTTTGAATGTATCAAATACCTCTAAGGGTCACTTACAATATTTAACTACAATGTAATTTCGACTTTTTATTTAGCAGCTATCAATTGCCATTACCAAACCTGCTTATCCCATGTTAGTTAGAACCCTGTACTAAACCAATAAAACGGCATTTAGGTAAAGTTTGAAATTTTCCTACTCAAATGTACTTGCGGCACCAATTTATGAATAAAAAGGAAGCTCTCTTTCTTTACAACCCTCAACCACCATACCTCCCCTCTCTCCTGTGCAAAGAGAAAAGGAGAATACAGATTACTTTCACTGCCGTTTGCATAATAGAATTCTACCCAATTCCTAACCAATCCTTTTTCATATTTTCAACTCTATGTGAAATGTTCTAACAGGATTTAACAAAGAAGATACTATTTTTGTCTGCTTTCCAATTTAGGAATCGGATTCACTGTCCAAGCCCTTCAATTTTTAATTCTCCATAGGTGTTGACCAGCTTTATCCATCTCTTAATCTAATAATTTTACCGATGTTTATTTTCCACCTGTTTCCAGCTCTACATTCAACAACATTCTAATCTTTCTCCTATCCCCACAGATATTTGAATTATATTTGAAATTCTTCCAGTGCTTTCTTATCTTCCATAACATATTTAGTGCTGATGACTTCCTTATTACTCCATTCAGAATTACCTGTCCATGTGTAATTTCTCCTAAACTTGTCCGACTGCTTAAGAACATTGGAAGTATAGAGTTAACAACAAATAGTATGAGGGGCTTTCATCCAACACACTGTTCATGAGTGCGACTCTCCCTTATAGAGAAAACTACTGATTTTTTCATGTGGAAAACCTTCCTTTCATAATTTTCAACTATCCCCTGTGAAGTTGCGGTGACGTAAATTGCTTGATGTTTACTAGTGGCAACCCCTAGATGCAGTATATGCAAAAGTTGAAATTTACCGAGTGCTAATGCATTAGAATGCTTAACGGACTCCTCCATAAGACTTGCAGTGTTTGTATCTTCAGGAAAGAACTGGTCAGTTTTCATGAACTAAGCATCATTTAATACGAAAATCACTTTTTATTGTTTGAGAAAGGCTGAAAAATACTCACTCTAGGAGACCCATCTTCACCAAGAATAAATAGACTACAACCCATAGCTGCTGTGCTAAAAGCAGATAAAGATTGTGGTTGCAACAACGAACCAGCAATGAATCCACCACCAATTTCTGTCCCGCCACAGATCTCTATTACAGGCTTGTAATGAGCTCTTCCCATCAACCAAAGGGATTCATCCACACCAGATGCTTCACCGGTGGAGGCAAAGTGACTGCCATCATACATAATTAAATTAAGCTAGAAAAATTGTTGGAAATATCTTTTGAGCGTGAGAAGTTTTGAAGTTCCATATGGATTACAGAAGTCAAATACAATTCTAAAGAATAGATATGCCCAAGACCAAATGAAAGTAATTGCATGGATGACTAAGGGGTGAAAAGAAAAGTGTTATAGAATGTATACAGACTTAAATCTGGTAATATACATAGCTATATTTAGGTAGCAGATTTATAGGAATCACTGCAGCTTCATAGGAATCAATCTTAATTTCTTTCCTTAGTTAGCACCTAATGTATTGTATTTATTCACTGCTAAACTACTGCAATAAGATAAGATTTTCCATCAAATTACATGGTATCAGAGCCTATTGGCTCATGTCGTTTTGACTGTGTTACGGAAGAGTTTGGATTTCTAATCCACTGATTTAGAGTGGTCAGTCTGCGTCACCGCCACCACAGAAGGAGGTGGAGTATATTTTCAGGCCAAACCAGTCTTCTCTTCTCTATCATTTGGGTGTGAAGCCGGTGGCTGTCACACACTGCTCATACAGTTCGCCTATTCATCACGCACCAGCACTTGAAGGTGCATGTTCTGGTGTTAAAACACGATTTGGAAAGTCTGTTCTTCACTTCCAGGTTTGTTTCTGTTCTGCGACATTGAATCTGGTCTGTGATTTGTGGTTCCGTGGCTGCTAGCTCCTACTTCAGTTCAGATAATGGTGTTGTGTGGATAAACTGCTGGTTCAAGATTTCTTTTTCTGAACTACTTATTTGGGTATTTTATTGTTCACTGCTTGCTGAATCTACTGGTCAAGTAGTCAATTTCTTTATTCTGCGTCGACAATTGGTTTCTTGGTTGATAAAATCATTTGACTCTGTTCATCTGTGTTTGTGGGGTCACGAACTGACGTACATGCTTCTAGTTATACTTGTTGTTGATGAGTTCATATGCTACTAAAATATTTGGAGAAAATGACTGAAATTGTGACTCCTATATCTTCGGATAAAGGAATTTTGGTTTCAGCAGAAGAGTTTGCAAAATTCTCGCAATATCTAAACTTACAAAAGAAATCTGTTCCGGTTACTGGACTGAAATTGTGACTCCTATATCTTCGGATAAAGGAATTTTGGTTTCAGCAGAAGAGTTTGCAAAATTCTCGCAATATCAAAACTTACAAAAGAAATCTGTTCCGGTTACTACCCTTGTTGAGTCAGGAAAAACATGTCTTATATCCTCTTCGAATAAATGGGTGATCGATTCAGGTGCCACAGATCATATGACAGGCAATCCTAATATATACTCTAGCTTTCGATCACATGGAGCACTCTCTCCTGTGACGGTTGCTGATGGTTCGCTCTGTAAGATTATAGGATCTGGGATTGTAAAACCAACATCCTCTATTACCTTGTCATCTGTATTAGGTCTACCAAAGTTATCCTTTAATTTGATGTCTGTTAGCAAGCTTACCAGGGACCTAAACTGTTATATCTCGTTCTTTCCTGATCATTGTTTGTTTTGTGATCTGAAGACAAATAAAGTTATTGGTAAAGGACATGTATCTGATAATCTCTACATTCTTGATGAATATTGGGAGCCTCGATTTGCTGCCTGCTCTATGTTGTGTCTCCATTCGAGGCACATTGTAAATTGGGACATCCTTCTTTGCCTACATTGAAGAAGCTTTGTCCTCAATTTCAGAATATTTCTTCAGTGGATTGTGAGTCATGTCTATTTTCCAAACACCATCGTAGCTCAACAAATCCAAGGGTTAGTAAGCGGGTGGAGTCGATGTTTGAGTTAGTTCATTCTAATGTTTAGGGACCATGTCCTGTTGTTTCCAAAACTGGATATAAGTATTTTGTCACATTTGTGGATGATTTCTCTCGAATGACTTGGATGTATTTTATGAAGAGTCGTTCTGAAGTGTTTACTCACTTTTGTGCGGAGGTCAAAACTCAATTCAATACTTTGTTGCATGTTATGAGGAGTGATAATGCTAAAGAATATATATCAGAATTGTTCCAATCCTACATGAGACAACACGGTATTCTCCATCAGACTTCATGTGTTGATACACCCTCTCAAAATGGAGTTGCCAAGAGAAAGAATAGGCATCTGCTTGAGACAGCTCGAGCACTTTTGTTCCAAATGAAGGTCCCTAAACAATTTTGGGTTGATGTAGTCTCTACAACTTGTTTCTTGATTAATCATATGCCATCGACTATTCTTGTTGGTAATGTGCCTTACAGTGTTCTTTTTCCAAACAAGCCACTATTTCCAGTGGAGCCTAAGGTGTTTGGAAGCACATGTTATGTTCGAGATGTTCGGCCATTTGTTACCAAGTTGGACCCTAAAGCATTGAAGTGTGTTTTCTTAGGTTATTCTCGCCTTCAGAAGGGGTATCGATGTTATTCTACCGAGCTTGGTAAATATTTGGTGTCAAATGATGTGGTATTTTCAGAGATGACACCATTCTTCTATGCACCTCCCAGTTCGACAACTCAGGGGGAGGAAGATGAGTGGTTAGTCTATTAAGTTACTCGTGCTGTGACAAAACAATCAGATGATGTCCTTCAATCTCTTAGTTCCCCTATTGAACACAATTTGACTACTGGGCCCACATCTTCTACTTCGGTAAGACCACCAATTGTTCAAGTTTATTCAAGAAGATGAGAGATCGATGATACATGTTCTGCACCGGCTCTTTTGTTATCAAATCTTTCTTCATCCGATCCTTCAGATGATCTTGATCTCCCTATTGCTCTTCGCAAAGGTAAAAGGACTTGTCATTTGACGTATTCCATTGCTAATTTTGTTTCTCAGAGAAAGTAAATTCTTGATCTTCTTGCAGATACTGGAAAGTTAGCAGCTAAACCTTGCAGTACTCCAATGGTTCCCAATGTGCAGCTTATGAAAGATGATGGCGACCTCTTTGATGATCCCGAGAGATACAGGAGGTTAGTTGGGAAGTTAAACTACCTCAGTGTGACTCGTCCAGATATTGCTTTTGCAGTAAGTGTTGTCAGCCAGTCTTTGGAGCAGATTTTATGTTACTTGAAAGGAGCCCCTGGACTTGGGATATTGTATAGCAATCATGGTCATACTCGTGTTGAGTGTTTTGCAGATGGCTGACTATGCCGGATCCAAAATTGACAGGAGATCGACTACAGGCTATTGTGACTTTGTTGGAGGGAACCTAGTTTCATGGAGAAGTAAGAAGCAAAGTGTTGTATCTCGATCTAGTGCAGAATCTAAGTACAGAGCTATGTCACAGTCTACGTGTGAGATTATGTGGATACATCATCTTCTAACTGAAATTGGGTTGGAACATCATACACCAGCAAAACTTTGGTGTGATAATCAAGTTGCCTTGCATATTGCCTCAAATCCGGTGTATCATGAAAGAACTAAACATATTGAGGTTGATTGTCATTTTATTCGTGAGAAGATTCAGGAAAACTTGATTTCCACTGGCTAAGTGAAGAAAGGAGAGCAAGTAGCTGATTTACTCACTAAGGCATTGAATAGAACTCGAGTTGATTATCTTTGTAACAAGCTGGGCATGATCAATACATATGCTCCAGCTTGAGGGGGAGTGTTATAGAATGTATATAGACTTAAATCTAGTAATATACATAGCTATATTTAGGTAGCAGATTTATAGGAATCACTGCAGATTCATAGGAATCAATCTTAAATTTCTTTCCTTAGTTAGCACCTAATGAATTGTATTTATTCACTAAACTACTGCAATTAGATAAGATTTTCCATCAAATTACAAAAAGAAACAAAATAACACATAATTTTCTAGAACAATATAGTGTCTCTGTAAAGCTCTAACTGTTTTGAAGATGTTTAAGAAGAATTACCAGATGGATGACCAATCATAACCAGCAGTGCAATTTGTGGATTTCCATGCCCTCACAATACTTGGGACCACGCCAAGCATAGTAACTTTAGCATCCTAGATAAGTCCTTGAGGATTTTAGATGGCAAAAAATGGTGGAATCCATGAATGGAAAATTTGTAAGGAGAAGTGAACTTGTACGCAGTAAACCCAAAATTTCAATCTGAAGTCATCCGGGGTGGTATTCTAGCCTTCATATTTCTCAAGTTAAATGATTGATAGTATTAGGAAGAAAAAGAAAAGAATGATGTCCGAAATACTAATGCTAATTACAGAGTTGGTCCTTGGTAGTATAGACAGAAATGCTTAGATTTGCTGTTCTATCTACTTGGTCCAGCAAGCGTGGCACCTAAAGTTTGCACAAGTCCCCTAATCATCTAGCTTGAAGTCTTGAACAGTATTCGGAGAGTTTCTTGCTTTACGTAAGGCCAATCAAGTATGCAACTAGTCAGATTCATAAATTTTTGTTTAACAATTCAAAGTTGTTTATCATCATCAACATCACCACCACTATTAATTTGGTATTTGAAATGGGTCTATAGTGTTAGATTGCATCGCACCTGAACAAACTTTGTGAAACCAGCACCAAGGGGGGACCCATTGTATAAGGCCATGGTTGCTCCATTTAGCAGAGTGGAGTAAATTAGCAAAGGGCCCATCATCCATCCAAGATTGGTGGGCCAGGCCACCACATCATCTTTGCCAATGTTCAAGTGGGACCATCCATCAGCAGCCGCCCTAAGGGGTGTAGTCGCAGTCCATGGAATCGCCTTTGGTTCCCCTAAAACACATTTATAGAGAGTAAATGTAATAGACTTATATTAGTAGTTCTACTCCAAATTTTTTCTTAATCCCTCATGAATGAGTCGACTAAGCAGTTTTTACATTATTCTCATACCAATAAACTGAACTCTTTCGCCGTAATTATCATGAAATGTTCTTCATTAAATGTGGTAGAAAAAGAATGGGTCTTTTCTTTTTACAAGGTAAGTTATTATTGACAAGTAAAAGGGTCCTTCATCCCACGAGAGATAATGAATGAACATATACATTTTTTTTATAAGGTATGAATGAACATATACATTAAGTCACTAAAAACAGAACCTTAAATTAATTTTAAGCAGTAACTGAGAAAATTTTGACATCAAATCATAGAGTAAGTGAACAAGACAGAATACTTGCAATGGATATCAAAATACCTGTTGTTCCAGAGGAGAAAAGGATATTTGTGAATGCTTCAACAGGTAGTTCCACCCCAATATACTCAACCTCCCTGCTATTTAAAGAGAGAGATCAACAACTTTTTATTCCAGCACCAGAGCTATTTTTAGCTAGTGTAAAATGAGAAAATCAGAGTTAATGACGTATAACATGATTCAAGGTAGTGGCTTAGATGGTAAAAGATCCTATTATCAGGATTGAGGAAGAATAGGTATGTAAACAAAAGCTCAATTCAAGTAGAGGATTATCATAATGCTTCCCAATTCAGAAGTCCTTAGTAAGTAGTGAAGCTGGATGTTCTCTTGGGCCTTGACCTTTGTTATCCATGATAGTAAAGCTGGGATAGATTTTTTATTATTTTATTTCTGCAACTATTGTAAAATTGCAGGCTCAGAGTGGAGTGAAGCTATTCTGGTGTATTGCTGATGATCTACAAGTCATTTGAAAGTACATGAACAACTATGCCTCAATCCCAAGTTCTGAAAGGGAGTGGACCAAAAATGTCTTCACTTCCCTATGGATGTGGGACTATGGAGGAATATCTCAAAAGGGTGAAATGGTTCAATGAGAACATATCAATCAGGATGAGTGAGTTTTTGGGGACATAAGTGTGCAAGAAGCCGAGAACAACATTTCCTAATTTGTATAGAAATTCTTGCCAAAAAAGATCCAATGGATATGGAGTATAAATGGGAGAGGAGTGCATTGGGATTTGAGTTTTAGGAGAAATTTGCAAGTCTGGAGGTTAAAGAACTCATAATTTGGACGAATTGCTTCATCATAAAAAAATATAAAAAATTATGGATAGTCATGACCTATGAAGAGGGGGGGGAGTATGGCATATTTTCTATTAAGTACTTCTACGAGAAGATTTTTATTAGAGGAATCTTTTCAACATATTTCAGTATGGATACCGAGAAAGATTCGTCGTTCACTTGGCTAGCTGTGAGAAGGGTGATCCTGACAGTGGAAAAATTGAAGAAGGGGAACATTAGTGGCGTTAGTTGGTGCTTCATGTGTAAAGAATCAGGAGAAGACGTAAATCACCTCCTTATATATTGTTGGCTAGCATCTTGGTTATGGTGTGAAATTCTGAGATGCTCAGACTTGAGCGGGTGATGTCGGGCAAAAGAAAGGATGTTTAGCAGGGATTCTAGAGAACATAAGAGAAGATGCAGAGTATGAGATGTTGCTCCTCTAGCACTTTTATGGACCATATGAAGAGAAGAATAGGAGGGTTTTGAGAGAGTAGAGAAAGACGTTGTACATTGCAATTTATCCGATGAATGGCAAGATTGAAAGAAAATTGCAATTTCCATTAGACTGGCATCAAACTAGACAATAAAGTCATAACATATGTAAGAGAAAAAGAAAATCAATGAGATAGAAAGGAAATAGGCTATCTGCTCATTATGATTGTAAAGTCTCTCGGGGTGGAGGTCTAATAGTCGTCACATCAAGTCCTCCCCCTTTGATAGACATCAAGTGCACACAAATTCCTTCTAAACGTTGTGTTCAACTCTACTAATAATATTATTGAAGATCAGATCTTGAATCCGTTAAATTTGAAATGTAACAACTCCATAAGATATAGAAAAAATGGTGCTTCGAAATTGAATGGAAGGTTATACAGGAGAGAATCATAAGCGCCAGCGGCAGAAGTTTACGAAAAGATAAGGTATGAACTTTCACCCTTTAGAAATCAAGGTGATCCTCCAAAAATTGAACTCAAAATAAGAAGTTTACGAAAAGATAAGGTATGAACTTTCACCCTTTAGCAATCAAGGTGATCCTCCAAAAATTGAACTCAAAATAAAGATCAGAGGTCATTTCAAAATCTAAGTAACTTTTCTTCTATTATATACTTTTACTATTTACTAATACCACCACTGCTACTACTACTATTATCACTTAAACTTAAGCTCACAGTCAGATGAGATGAATGGTTCTACATGTGTTAACAGACACCAACTCAAAACAAGATTATGTGTAACATACGCCCCTGAGCCGCATTACATTGTCTATCCGTGATAAGCCAGCTAAAAAAGGAGAAATTATAGCAGCAAATTCCATGAACTCCACACTGCAGGTGGATGTGCATGTTCAAGAAATAGTCATTGTTAACAGGCTAACAGCATGGATCTAAAGAATGATGAATTTCAATGTACTTGTGCGCTAAAAAGTTTCACAATTTCGTCTCTCTAAAGGATTACAGAAGTGGATTATATCAGGTCATCTAGTTCTAGCTCATTTTTTGTGTCAGCATGAAACACTATATAAAAGTAAATCATTAGTGAAGCAAAATCCAACTTTAGCTATTAAAAAGAGGGAATTAAATCCATGAAATAACATCAGAAAGAGGAGTGCTTACTTAGATTTGTCTACTCTTTCTAGGAAATCTTGCCATGAAATGTCACCATCACGCAATTCTATGCTCAAAGTGGAGCTTCTATTGGGAATTACAATCGCCATTGGTGATTGAGCATCAATCACTTTACTGCAGGTTAGAAATCTATGTTAGGAGGGTGAAACAAATAAATAAAAGAAAATGACACAGGGCTAGGATATCACCTGTACAATGGAAGTTTTTTTGCCACCACGGCTAATGAAATCCTAGGAATATAGTCAACCAAAAGAGTTTTAGCCCATGAGTGAGAGTAAGAGTTGGAGGAGAGAGAGATCAAACATAAAGAATCAGAGACTTAAATTCACGTCAGAATTTCAAAAGATAAGGACAGCCTTCAAGATGAATTCAAACAATCTCTGAAGGAGATATGGTCATGGGGTGGAGTCATGGAGCATATGAGCATTAGCCACAATATTCTTTTTCCGAAATGAAGTACTGCCAGGGCATTGATTCAATTCTCAAATTTCACCATAGCATATGAATTTAATCTCCACATGTTTTCACTACGAACTCTTGAAAGAGTAATCAACCATTAACTACAGGTTCTCTGTGAGAATCCCAGTAGTTCAGATCTACAAAGCTGACACCCCAGGAAGGATAGGTTACTTAGGTTACCTTTTAATTCTAAACAATGCATCCAAGATTGACGAGCTATACTTGGTAATTCATCTCCAACTTTCTCAAAGCCACAAACAACTTAGCATTCTCCTATTTAATGCATTCCTCCAAATTAATTATTCAGAAAAGAACTAAAATTTGGTGTCTTTTTTTTCTTTTGCCACTTAGTCAACTTAGTAATAACTTTCCAAGAGCCATTCTGCAGATATCTAAAGATAGAATCTCTTCATCTTATCAAGTTTAATATACTATGAAGCTTAGCAAAAAATTCCATACATCCTATTAGCATTATCCATGCATCAAATTCAACTGCAAGAATCTCTGTGTCAAGAAGTATTATTAAAACGACTAATTGCTTCTTCCTTTTCTGTTAGGTGGCAGTGAGTGCTGGTATAGTCCAGGCATGGAAAGGATACTCAATTAATTTTAGTTACCAAATGGCTTGCAGAACTTTTTATCTTCCTATCCAATATTTTTTGCTTACAATATGTCAACTTGAGCTTCTCTTCTTCTCCATCCACAACCCTACTGCAATAACTAGGTATCCTATGATATCACCGAACAGTTCTGATCTAGCCAGTATTATATACTTCCCTATATGAAGACGCAGTTATATACGCTGGAAAAGTAGTTCTGGTTATACTTGAAATCGAAAACAGTATTCAGGCACATAATTTGTTTATTTCCAGTGAAGGAGAAATGGGGTAAACCTGAGTGAAAATAGCCTTTGCTTTTGATATCATGAGCCTCGTTGCAATTTCAGTTGGAGCAAAACTGTCAGCGATTGAGACAACCACATAACCCGCAATAACAATGGCCAAGTAGATCACTACGGAATTGACATCCATTGGCATATCTATGGCAATGGCAGATCCTTTTTCCAATCCCAGTGTATCAATGCAATATGCGACTCTCCTGTATTTTAGAAAGGTTTTTACAATTAGTATTCATAACTCATAAAACAGAACAAACATATAACAATTACATCTTAGTCCCAAATAAGTCGGGTTAGTTATATGAATCCTCTTTGACCATGTTTCTCCATTTAAGTTCAACTCATATTATCATCATATACCAAATAAAAAATAGAAGTGAAAAGATAAGTTAATTATATATGAACAATAGTAATAGTAATTACAATAATATTAAAAGTTCACTATATTTTTACTGGCATATAAATCTATCGTAAGGTCAAAATACTTCAAGAAAGCAGTAGGTTCAGATCAACATTCTCAACTAGTAGATATCATCTATATGAATCTTTTTCTTTCATTTTGTCCTATCTTTAGATAATCCCGCACTAATTCCAAGAAATTATGTCTTTTCGAGACATTTTCCTTCCATATGATTTTAGGTGTACCTCGTACCATTTAACACCTTCACTCACCATAGTTTCACACCTACGAACCGATGCATATGTAAGTGATGCAAAACATGATCAAACTATCTCAAGCAACTTTCTTTGATTTTATCCTTCTGGGTGCTAAGTAATTTTAATTGGGGGGGAAAATACTGAATCTCCAACAAAAAGAAAAAGAAAGTTGCTACTACATAGGTTTCATATTATTGAAGGTAGCATTTATTCATTCTGGGAAAAATCAGATTTCCCAACCTCAAAATACTCAAAATTCTCTTCTTTCTTCACAACAAGCATGGAGTATATATCAAATCAGTGTCTCATTCTTCCCAACAAAACTTTGCATGTCAGAGTTGGACTGCTCTAAAGTTTTACTATTTTAGAAGGCATAACCCAGTGGATACAAACATAACATGTTTAAGGCCACAATTCTCTAGCCAATGCAGTGTGCAGAAAATATGATCAGAAGTGCTTTTCATGAGAAATTAAGGAAATGGAAAAGCATTTGCAACAGTTGACTCAGGGTTTGTTTGATGTAGAAAGGAGATCCTAGTCACCCCATTCAATAGTAATTCGTTGTAGATTTAACAGAGCAGAGGCATTATTAGACCGTGCACCCGGAGCTCCTGGGTGGCAGCCAGTCTACCCAGTTACCTCTCTAAAGCCTTATCGTCCAGTCATCACCTACCTTAACAAGATGTGATTTGATTGTACTACTGGCATGTGCAAAAGATTCACTGACTTGATGCTCATACACAAGCCATGCCAATGGTGTGTGAACCTTGTTAGAAGTCGAATAAATTGGTTCATAAGTGTATTCTCTTGTTTTCAAGTGACATGAAATATTCTTTTATATGTCTTCAATACCATCTCACAGAAATCCTTGCTTAATTTTCCAAGTTTTCATTCCAGTCCAACTCACAAGCAGACCAGGAATTATATGATATAAACATTCAGATGCTAGTTGAAGATCTGAACATCTTAGTAAATACCTGGGTGAATTTCTCTCCTTTCATCAATTAACAGCATTCATCATTTGGTTTTCACACCTCCTTGACTTAGTAATAGACTAATAGTAAGAGGTAATATCCAAGGTGCACCACCACCCCTTTTTTTTATGTTTCTTTGTGCACAATATTTCCTAGATTACTAACAAATCATATTTCCCCATGTATCACATGGAATGTGGATGGTTCAACACTGGAACTGCTGAGAAAGTACATTAATTTAACATACATAAACTCCTAAACCCCTCCCCCCATTCCCCCTGCATAGGCAGAAACCAGTAGTGGTCTTCTCCCACTATACTCCTACGGTGACTTGAACATCCGACCTCCTTGTTTGAAGTGGAGTCTCTTGCGGATCTTGTTGGTAGTGTGCATCTTAACATTTTTTTCAGATATATGCCATGACCAGAGCTGAGTCACCATAAAGTCATAAATAGTCAGCATGTTTCGCGGTATGTACAACTTATTAAAGGATCAACATTTTATGATGCACATAATGATATATTTTAGGCCATGCAGCAGGAAGACTCGATGGAATATTTACAGAGATCCAAATAACAAGCACAAGTATTCTGACTTGAAAAAACAATTGATATACATACTACAACTTAATTTTGTAATGAACAGTAACAAAAGTCATTGTACCATACTGCTGATCTTAGTTCCTCAAGAGTCAATTTGGTAACAGGTGCCTCATCATCTCCTTCATCACGAGTTATCACAACTATGTCACTTAAACTCCTCTTTGCATTCAACCTCAAACAATTCTTGGCAGGATTTAAACGTGCTCCAGGAAGCCATTGACCGCCAGGGTGCAATGGAGTTTCACGCAAAATACATTCAGGACTAACAGAGAAAGAAAGATTCATTTCCTCAAATATGATCTTCCAGTACATCTACAAAGATAAAAGTTTCCAGTAAGAGGAAAAAAAGGACACTGCATCAATATTTACTCATTCACAAACAAGAAAGTAAAGCTGCAAATACTGTGGGCAAAACATAATAGTACCTCCAAGTTTGAGACTGTAAATTCTTGAAAATCAGAGAAGCTTGAAATAGGATTTTTATAACTTGACCCCAGTAACTCCTTTCCGCGTCGCTCCAATAACTTACCAATGTTAGTCAACTTAGCAGCTTCCCTGTGCCAGGAGTAACACATCATCATCATGAGCAACTAAACACAACCATTCAGCAACTTCTCACAAACTAATTTAACTTCAAGTTCATAATACACTAACGCATATCCAAATCAAGATCCACCCATAACATTTATCAACTGTTCACCTGACTTCATCAACTTTTCAATTATGTGGCTTGATTTAGAATATGAGGGTCAAACTAACTAATATTATAATTCGGATACACAATCTTCAAAAAAAAATTTAAATAAACTATTATACCATTAGAATTCCTACTCTAAGTCAACGGGCTAACCATTCAAAATATTTCAAAAGTATTTGAAAAAATCATAGTCGCAGAAAATCTTCTTTCACGCATTAATTAAAACAGGAATGAGTAACATTGAACAAATCGCGCAGTTGAACTGAAGAATACTAACGGGTCGGGCAACCAAGCAGGCGGGTCAGGTCCATAGTCAAAGTAACAGCCATAGTACATCATCTGATGGAAGGCGAAGGGAAGGTCCGGAGTAAGAAGGTATTGAGAGATGTGCCGCCATGTATTGGTAGCGTCAGCTCCGTATTTAGCAACTATCTCGGTGAGCTTTCGGTGGAGTTAGGCAGCGGCGGCGGCGGAGATTCCCTGCAGCGCCTGAATATCCTCAACGGTGACAGAGCGCAGCGGTTGATAACGTGCCATGAGAATCGAAAATGAGAGAGTTTCAGGAAAAAGATCGGTCAATTCTCATGCCTCTACTGCTAACATGTGGATTGTGGAGTGCAACAACTACACGTAAACCTGGTTGCTAACGGTTCGTGTAAGTTGATATAATGAAAAGAATAGTTTAGTGGTATGAAATTAATTGTTGGATTGGACTCTTAATTGACTGTATACCAACTACCCCTCCATTCCATATTAATTGAATTTTTGAGCTCTTTAAAAAAATAAAATTAAGATTTAAATTAAATATAGTTTTCCATTTTTATCCTTATTAATTATTGTCAAACTTATGAAGTCATTACATGGAAAATCCAAATGAAGGGTAAAATTGGAAAAATATTTTAAATATAATCTTGAAGATTGAACAATTAAGTTAATTTCAAAAATGAAAAATGCCTCAAAAATTTAATTAATATGAAATGGAGGGAGTAGTATCTTTCGATAGACGGTTGGCTATGACAACAACAACATACCTATAAAAATCCCACTAAATGATACTCCCCATCGGCATGTTCCATGTTAGATGGACATCTTATTAAAATATTTGTTCTATATTATTTCATGTGTCTCAATTTATATGACACTTTTTATTTTTCAAGAATTAAACAATTCAAGTTTGATCCACAATTTATGCATGGAATCTTTAAATTTTTTGAAATGAAATTTTATTTATAAACTATGTAAAAAGTACTATAAGTCATAATAATTGACAATTCAAAATATTTAAAACAATAAAAAATTTACGATCAAAGATAGACTTGTTTGTATCTTGAAATCCGAAAAGTGTCACATAAATTAGACGGAGGGAGTATCTGATTACTTACTAAATAAATATAAAATTAATTAATTTTTTTTCATTTTACCCCCTACAATTAATATGATTTTTGGAAGTTTAAACAAATTTTGAAGACCCAAAAATTTCTTTTTTTAAATAGGCTAATTAATATGAATAAAGGGCAAAATAATAAAGTTGATTAAACTATTAATAATTTAATTAATCACTGTGTAAATTGAAAATGGGCATCGAATATGGAACAGAGGGAGTATTAGGAAAAGATAAAGGATAAGAGATTTTATTATTATCTCGTGGAGTTAAAGAGATTGTTTTCGAAAAATTCTCTGACTCAATAGCAGCCTTATTCGGTGTGTAAATCTGACAACCAATAATGAAAGCTATCAAATTCAGAGCTAAGCTAGCAGAGGTGATACCATTGGTTGAAGGAGTTGTACATAACTGGTAGTGGTAGTTACATGAAGGAGATTGGTTTTTAGACCCACAAGTCCTGTTTATAGTTCTGATATTAAAGAAAATAAATAATACTCCCTTTGTCTCTAATTACTTGTCCACTTTTGAATTGACACACCTATTAAGAAAATAATTATTGATATAGTGAGTTTATCATTTTACCCCTATTAATTATGAAGTGGGTGAATTAAAAACTTAATATTTCCAAAAAAATAATTATTTTTCAAAGTAATTAATTGAGGGTATAATCGGTAAAATTTTTTTGTCCCTTCTTGATTTGTCAAAATTGATTAGTAATTAGAGACAACTAAAAAAGAAAAAGTGGACAAATAATTAGAAACAGATGGAGTATAATATAACAGCAAGAAATAGCCAATGGTAATAATTTACCTATTATCAAGATTGGAGATATTACTCCAACTTTCAAGAATATTTTTGTTACACCACAATTAGTCTTATAAAAGTTAGACAATTGGTAGAGGACAATTATGATGTGAATTTTTCTTGTAATGGTTGTTTAGTGTAGCATAGAGATGATAATCGCGAAAGGGCCTAAAGTTCGGAAGATTGTTTCCTATACACTTTTTCATTCCTTTTATTCTATTGTTTGTTTGTATTTGTACAACTATTAAGACTGAGCTTTAGCATAAGTGTGTACTCATTCAAATTCAACTCATTTATTGAATTCTGGTTTATTGGGAAATAAAAATTTCATCTTTTAGCTACTTACTTTGATTGTTCTACTGGAAAATTAAGCAAAAGTAAAATTTTTCTTTTCCTAATTTTGGTAATCATGCATCAAAGTGTCTCTCTTGGTTTTCAATTTGAGAGGCACTTAGCACAAAAGTGACATCTATTGCATGGTGTAGACTAACTCTGATGGAATGTAGTTGCATTGGTTTGCAGTATCATTGAAAATGCAGGAACCAAAATGCTGCATTTGTTCAACATTGGCACCTGATAGAAATTCAAAAAAAGAAGGGCTAGGTACCAACTGCTTGAAAATCGATCCGGAGTTGTTTCTGTGAGGAGTCACACCCTGTTCTATGTATCATATGGCTGAACTTCTTATGTTGGATGTACAAATAGGATTCGAAAGCATGCAGTGACATGCCAAAACAAAGAGAAAAACAGAGGCAAGAAGATAGTTCATTAGAACTGATCAAAGAACTACAGCAGGCTATCTTTAAGAATTCAACTATACTATGGCCAATTTGATGGTCATTACAAGGGAGACTTGTTAATCTGAAAGCAATTTGACAGTGCCTGTTGTACCAAAACGTCTACCTGGAATGACTCTTGATGGTGATAAAATTTCTGCAAAAGAAAAGTTGTATGAATCTGTTCCTAGCCGACTCTGCAACCACCCCTTGCCTCCGGAGAAGCCATCAGTCATGATCCAGCAGTTATTGAAGCCAAAGCTCGTCAGCGATTTAGCAACTGTTTTAGCTGAATCAGAGTACCTGAATTTTTTTTTACAGAATATCATTGATAACGAAAATTATACAATGGTGCACATAGACTATTAAGACCAGAAGGGAATTAAGAGTGTGAGATGTCAAGTAGATTATAAGAAAATTTAGAAAAACTCACGAGTCCATTATGACAATGTTAGACCCCTTGTTGACTTTCTTGAGGAATGATATCTTCAGAGCCACTATTTCAGCTTCCACTTTCTTCGGATTTCTCACAAGACTCTTTACTTTACTCGGCAAATCTTCCAAACTGTAATATACCAGGAGAACATAAGCATAAGTATAAACATACTTATCTGTAGACATCTTTCATATATTCCCTAGGAAGTTCAGAGTCAAATGATTTCATGCACAAAGATGAAAGCAAGTATACCAGACCAGGTTAACTTCTCACTCGCATAAGAAGTCAATTTACCGCCTCTCAATTAGTTAAGGAGAACGTAGCGAGGAAAGAGACAAATAAATAAAAAGGAAATATTTGATTAAGCCACTATCAAGGACCATGCACAGTTTGTTCCTGACTGGAGAATTCTCAAGAAATTAAAGAGAACCTTCTTAACCCTTAAGACAAGTAGCAAAATAGACTTATTTTAGTCTTTATGCATGTCATTCTGATCTATTTATCGAAACAAGCGTGTTTCCGAGATAGAGCAATTTGAAACATTAGAATGGCAGTGGAAATACCACATGATGCGAGTAATGATAGAACACAGTTCATTATGTTTTCTACTTTTCTTAGAAAATAGCAGTTCTACTAAGCGAGAATGTAAACTTGAAGAAACCCAACTTACGGGATTTGAATCATCTTGTTTTTAGCACTAGATGGAAGACGAGGGATTCCAGCCTTATCCTTGTCCTTCTCTGTTCTAATATCAATCAACACATAATTCTTAGAACACATATTGTCCAGTGTTTGAGCAGGAGTTAGTTCACCTGGAAATTGCATTCCAAAACAAATTTCTTAATTCCAAAAATTAACAGGAAAATGAAAATGATAATAAAGCTACAAACAACTAACTTGGTGTGAAGATAATGCTATTACAACAAATTGTGAACACAATTTCAAGTATGATAATAATTTTAGTCACTCAAGATAGCTAAATGAACCAACCTACCAAGCCAATCTGATTATAGTCACTCCAAAATTATGGTTAAAAGCATGTTCCTTGGTTTACATTTGTACACCTTTTTTTAGAGGGAATAGTTTACACTGTATATCTCAATGGTCTAAAGCGACAAAATTAAGGGAAATAAAACCCATCCAATTACCCTTGTAACCACGAAAGCTGAAAGAGAGAGCGGAGAAGACAGGGGGAAGTAGAAGATATGCCAGGAATAATGTGCCACCAGCCACTGCAATAACAGCTGGATCAGTTGATGAAATGGTTTGAACTGTGGATGAGGCGATTGGTTTGGCCTCTTCAATCACCTTGGATGTCTGTTGAGCTGCATCAACTACTGTCTGCAACCAAACAATCATGTATCATTTAAAGTTGAGCAAAGAAAGATGAAACTCAAATTACAACACCGAAAAGTCCCAGAACATCATACCTTAGCTGCAGTCATCACTGGCTGAGAGTCCATGCCAGCACTCTGCATTGCCTCTTGTGCTTTCTTAGTGACATCAGATATGACAGGAGAAGCGTTCTTCAAAACTTCCTCTCCTGCTTGCTTTACTAAAGGCAATGCTGCATCAATCCCGGGTTTCACAAATTCAATCACGGGCCCAATCACTCCGCTTATAGTATCAAAGATGTTCGAACCAATCTCTTGAGCTTGATTAACTGCAGATTCTACCTGGAAAGAGGAAAGCTTCCAATAAATTGCTAAGAACCAAATCTCAAGAAACAAGTTTTATTCACATACATAACACAGAACTTTGTGGAACTGTATCAACTACCCCTCCGTCTCAATTTGTTTGTTCAGACCATTTAAAAAAAAATGTCTCTTTGTTTTTTTAGTAACTCTTTAACTTCAACTTTTCAGACATGGTTAACAATTTCCCGTATCTTTCGTTAAGACCACAAGATTAAAGAGCATTTTGAACATTTCTTAAACTCTGTATTTAAGTCAAAACCATACAAATAAATTGAAAAGTAGGGAGTAATACATATGATGTAGAATCCACAATCGCCTAAGTAAAAAATTATCAAAAAGGCACCAACTTTAATATAATAAGACTATATCAGAACTGCAGTAGAAACGATTTGACCCAAAAAAAAAAACATATTTGAAGAAATGGGTTTTACTAAAAACCCAATAAAAAGTTATGAGAAATTCAAATAGGGGAAACTTGTAATTGGTACCTGATTAAGGGAAGAGACTATGTCTTCCTTGGGTAAGCTGATTGCTCTGGCTTCATGGGTCGCAGTGAAAAGGGGAAAGAGGAAAAGTGCAGTGGATGTAGAGAATGACACTGACACAGTTTTTTGAGTAAGTTTAGGAAGATTTAAGACTATAGGTGGTGATGAAGTAGAAGAAGAAGAAGAAGAAGAAGAAGGGGGCGGAGGAAGAGGTGATTTAGCGGTGGCTGAAGCTCTAAGTGCCATCACTTTTCAGCCTCTTTGCCACTGCTTGCTTGAAGACTCTTGTTGATTATGAAGAATTAATGGATTTTGTCCTACTAATTGAAACTACTATTATAGATGATGGGCAATGTGTGATGAGAAATTGAGAAACAACTCTTAACGGCTGAATTTCATGTTCCTCTTCTTTGGTCCTTATTATCCGACGTGGCATTACAAAATACTGATGAAGCTATAGGATCATGACACGTGGATTATAAGATGAGAAAACGTGGGGCCTATTCTTTCCTATTGTGTACCGCATCCGTCTGCAATTTGGTTATTAGTAGTAGACAGTAGTACTTTCTTGATATCAATTTTAATTTTGTTTCAAAAAAAAGTAGACAATAGTACTGGTTTGTGAGATTAGTAGTACAACAATTTTGTTTTTTCTTAAATTGTAGTGAAATTCATTTGATTTTTTGCCTACTTTGATTAATTTCACAAAATGTGTGTCTCATTTTCCATCAATAATAAGTATATCAGATAATTCTATTAACCAAGTCTAGGACATATGGAAATTGAGACCTTTCATTCCTTTCACTTGTTAACTTTTCCCTCTAACATTGTTGTTTGTACAACTTTAACCACAAATACAACATAATCCGTGTGATTCCACAAGTGGGTAATGGGTTTAGAGAGGATAGAGGATACACAATATTAATTATCTCTATCTTATTATAAGGTACAGAGATTGTTTTCGATAATTTTAACCATAAATAGTGCGGAAAATCTTACTACTATAGTACTATTGAGCACACTGCTTCAAAATCCTCAGGGAATATGCCAAAGTACATTAAACATATGACCTCATGGAGTATAACATGACATAATGTTAATAATATTTTCTGCAAAAATAATGTTGAATCCTGAGTTAGCAGCCAACACACACTTTGCAAGACCTTTAGCCACTCTGTAAATTCTACTTTTTTTTTTTTTTTTTTGCAATTGTAACCACATGCTGTTTTAATTTTTTTGAGAAAAAAGCCAAAAAAAAAAAAAAGTTTTCAAGATCAAGCGGTCTCTTAATTAGCGAAGTGTATATTTTGGGCTCTTAACTTGCAAGTTCCTATTGGGGAGATCAATGGACCACCAGTGTCTAATCATCTTGGGCCAAAGCCCTATTTGCTTTTAGCCCAACAGAACAAACCCAAATTGAGACCTAGATCTGGATTGATTGGGCTAACTGGTTAAGCTAAATTCAAAAGTTAAGGATACGAGGCAATCAACCCCTACTAGTACTTCGTTATAAAATGGGAAAAAATACGTAGAATAGCAAACATTTAGCCTATATTAGTTACTATAGCTACAGTTTAAGAAAATTGTAATTCGCGGCTATAGTTTCTGCAATTCTTGATATTCGCCTGATTTGTATATTTCGCTTGATTTGTATAAATTCAGAATTTGTATAATTCGGTTCCTGATTGTAAAAATTCGGAGTTTTGTATATGCTTACCCTTGCTAGTTCTTGATATTCGCCTGATTTGTATATTTCACTTGATTTGTATAAATTCAGAATTTGTATAATTCAGTTCTTGATTGTATAAATTCGGAGTTTTGTATATGCTTACCCTTGCTATTTGTATATGATTTATAAGAAATTCAAAATAAATTATCATGTTTGTATATTAACAAGCGAATTATACAAACAAAATTCTGAAAAATTCCTAAATGTATTCTGTATATACTTGCCATATTTGTATATTCGCAAGCGAAATATACAAACCGCAGCTTCCATAGCAAACAAAACTATATTTGTGGAGCACAATTATTGAAACTATAGCTACTAAGCCTTATTTTATCTATTATGTTTGCTATTTCTAATATTTTCTCTTAGAAAAATCCAAAAATATTATAAAACCATAAAAGGGCAAGAAATCTCATTTTCTTTGAAACTACGAGAAAATAAGCTCTATTTTCTTGGTTGCTCATTTTCTTTGAAATTACTAGTCCTCAACTAATTATTATGTTAATCAGAGATAGCAGATACCCCATGCGACAGTAACCAGATTTCTGCTGCAATATCTAAACCATAAATATTGGAAACAATTAACAATGTGAGGATTATTTTGAACAGTGCATGACAAAATCCACCAAACAGTTTGACGTAAGCATATGTTAAAGTACAATTAATGAGAATCGAAGTATGAGAGTATTAAAATGAGAATGTTCCAAGAGACTAACAAAGACATACACTATGTGACAACAACAAAATATTAGTTTTTCACCTTTCTGAGAGGAGAGAGAGTGAAGTCTAATAATCAGAAAGAAACACAAAAGAGCTCTATTCATTTTTGGACTTTTGATGAATTAATTTTGTTTGTTGGCTCTTGGAAGTACTAAGCCAAGGGCATTAGTTGTTCTAACCTTTTATCATTTTAAGTTGATCCTATAACAAGACACGACAAATATTATTTGTAGCTTAGCACCTACTGTTTCAACATTTCAGCTCTATGCATTATACTAGTTTATCAATTTTTCATATCATATCTAACTTACAGGGGCGGAGCTAGTAAGGACCTAGGAGGTTCATCCGAGCACTCTTCAATGGAAAATTATATTGTTTATACATGGTTAAATCTACTTTTTACATATATATACTAAGATCAAGTGAGTGAGTGAAAGGCATGGCAAAAGCGCGAGTTCGACTTGCGAACAATTAGCAAGTGAAGGATCGATCCTTTTACGCCAATACTGTTGCGGGACTATTGTTGCGAGACTGGTACTTGGCAGCTCATGATGAGCAATATATAGATGGGATCCTCTTCGATTTTTTTTGTGTGTTTATTTTTCATATTTTGAATCACCATAGTGAAAATCCTGACTCTATTACAGCCTAACCTAACAAATATGTTTTTAATAACTAGTCCTAATTTACTTGAAATTGAGACATACTAATTGTTATTGTATTTTGGTATCAATGATGATGCCATTTATAACATGTATATTATAATCTTTCAACTACTAAAATATCCCAATAAGGACAATCAACACAACATTAAATACAAAAAAAACCAGTATTAATTTCCCCATCCACCTAATCATAAAACTAAACCACTTGTAATCTCCTCTCTAACTAAGTATTAGAATGGAAAACTCAAAATCCCCATCAGAGTCCTTAAATAACTCATCCAAAAACATCCAACAAAATAAGCCTATTTCCTCAAATGATGGAAAGAAATTTATTGGAGTTAGACAAAGGCCATCAGGCAGATGGGTTGCTGAAATCAAAGAAACTTCACAAAAACTCAGGCTATGGCTTGGTACTTTTGACAAAGCAGAGGAAGCTGCTCTGGCTTATGATAGTGCTGCACGTCTTCTTCAAGGAAGAAACGCGAAAACAAATTTCAAGAACCAGGGAATCTTGAAACCAAATGAAGAGAATTGCAGTTTGTTGGAAAAAAATCCAAGATTATATCAACTTATGAAACATGCCATCATGAAGAAACTTGCAGGGAAATATCAAAATAATGAACGTTTAGAAACAGAGGAGGAATTAGTTCAAGAAAGTATAAATAAAGAAGAGATATGTGGGATTCAATTACAGGGAAGTTCAAAGGTTTATTCTTCAGTGATTGTGGCTCCTTCTTTTAGTAATAATGAAAAATCGTACCAACTTTAGATGTCTTCGATCGTTAAAAGTATTAAACAGTTGTTAGGTTGTATTAGCTTTTCACATCATATTTGGTTTGTTTCTAGTGAGATTAGTTTTAATGCAATACATGTTTACTTTTTAATACCTAAGTTTATTTGATGTTTTCTTCTTATGTTTCTACCTCCAAAACTAGTAAGCAATATATTGGGATATTAACAATTTTCCGGTTTCACTCACCTAACCATATTTTTTCCATTGACAAGTGGGGTTGCTCAGGTGTTAAAAGTACATTCCGCCTCCAACCTTAAAAGGTTGTAGATTCGAGTTATTAAAGGAGCAAAACATGAGAGCTTCGGAGGTATAAAGAAAAGGTTTAACAAGTGTATAATAATCACTAACAGATTATATAGTGATCAAACTTTTATAAGAAATAGGAGTAACTATTAGGATTTATAATTTTTGATGACTTTATTAAACTGTTATGTTGCATGAATATTCACAATATATTTGCCTAAGAGAAAAGCTATCAATAATTGGGCTGCTTATGGTTTGTCAAAATAGATCCATTCTTTAATGGACCAGACAGTGACATCTTTCTAAGGTTTCTTGACCTCACTGGGCTTAAAGGGGTCCTTTTGGTAGAGTGAAATACTTTGTGACGATGCTTTCAACAAGTTCTTTTAAAGAAAATTTACTTAGAGATATGAATGATTCAATGCAAAATTTGAATAAATTTGGGTTAGGTTTTTTGATTTTGAGTAAAAAAATTTAAATAAAATCGAATACATTATTGAGATGAAGCCACATATCTCTTCATTAGTTTTAAGGATATACATAATTCAAAAATTGACGATAAAAATATATATATAACCTTGAAGTATAACAAAGATATCAAGATACCATTTGTGATAATTAGAGATATATTTATCATTTTTCTATTTAATAAATGTAATCATTCTTTGATTGTAATCTACTCCCTCCGTCCACTTTTATTTGTCATGTTGCGCTTTTCGAAAGTCAATTTGACTAATTTTCAATGTTAAATTAGATTACATTAATTCAATATTTTAAACAAAATTTTTAGATATTCAAAAACTATACGAAAAATATTATAAATTATAATTTTTTGCATATCAATATGATGAAAAAATAATTCGTAAAATGTTAGTCAAAGTTCTTATAGTTTGACTCTAAAAGGAAATCATGACAATTAAAAGTAGACGGAGGTAGTAACTCATACCTACTAACTGATTTAAATTATCTCTTTTTTTTGGTTTCCCACCTGGTGTCCGGAACCCACATTGGAGCTTCGACTAAATCCGGATCGCGCTCTGCAGGGCCCATTCGGGGGTGGCGCTCCCAACAGGATTTTTCTCCATACCCAGGGCTCGAACGCGAGACCTCTGGTTAAGGGTGAAACACTCCTACCAGTGCACCACAACCCATGTTGGTAAGTTATTTCTTAATTATATCATAATCACCAATCATCAACATTTCAGCATAATTTCTTTGATTGTAATCTAACTAGTACCTACTAACTGGTTTAAGTTACCTCTTAATTATATCATAATCACCAATCATCAACATTTCAACATAATTGCTACTTCATTCGTTCTTTTTTATATGTCATCCTTACTATATATAGTTGGTTTATAATACTTGTCATTTCATAAAATCAATGCAAAAATTACAATACTCTTTCTATTTTATCCTTTGGAGTTATTAGTCTTGAAAATATACATTTGACCAACATAGAAAAACTAAATAAATAATTCATGTTAATTGGTCAAATTAATTCAAATTCGTTGATTGAAAAGTTGACTTCAAAAAAAAATAATATAAAGATAAAATAGTAAACTTACTTAATTTCTAAATACACGTGAAATAAAAAATTGTGACTTATAAATATAAACGGAGGAGTAGTACTTACTAGTGGGGTGTGCATGTGGCGCACGCAAACAAAAAACCTTTCACCATCGAAAGGTGTCATTATATTGGCTGTGAAATAGATATGTTTTCATTGAAAATTTGGCATTATTCATGTTTGCTTAATGTCAAATATTTCTATCCCTCGTTTCATTATTATTTATTTTATCCATCATTTAAAAATAATTTATTGTTATTATTAGTATATGTTTTAATGTTTTCTTTATTTAGTAAGTTGAATAAATAATATAATGATCAATTAATGTAGAATAAAAAAAGTAATTATTAAGGAGCATACAAAATTTAAAGTGAATAAATAAAAGTGAATCCGAGAAGTATAATTGCGATGGTCCATACTCCATTATCAACTCTTTGTCAATTGCATAATGTTCCCAATGGACTCAAACATTTATTTATTTCCACTTGTCATAAAATGTTCATGAAATGAGGACCCCCTTTTTTTTAGTCGAAGAACTGTGCAATATGATAAAATTTCGTCACATGTGATGAAATAGTGTTGAAACTTTTATGTTTTCACATTTTTTAATGTGGTCCACATATTAAATAATTAAAATAATTATTTATTTCTTAATTAAATAATACCATTAGGTAGTTCCTTGATGGAAGAAATTAATTATTTGAGTCCCTAACTTCACATCATTTTATTAAGTAAAAAAGTTTCTAGAGTTTAAAAGTAATTGCCTAACAATATAAATGCCTATGAAGTGTGGCAAATTCTCCATTAATTCTTACTAGAATTAAAAAAAATGTGACCGTACACAACTAATTAATTTTCTGAAGTCATTCAAATCCACTTGTTCAGATCCTACATTATGTGTTGGATTCAGAGTTTGAAGTTCATGAACTTTTAAGTCAATTGAAACCTCGTCAAAGGAGGGTAGTAAAGCTTAAATGGGTTCTATTTTTGTTACTAAACCAAGAGCCTACTTTCTTATTAGTTTAATCCAACAGATATTTCTTATATATTTAATAAATTTCTCTAAAATAAATGCTAGATTTAGGTAAAAGTTATTGAAATCTCGAAAAACTGTCTCAAATCCTACGTCCGTCCGTGATATTCAGAGTCTATTAGAACTAAACAAAATAGAACATGGCGAAATAACGTAGGTATTAAAATAAACATGGTAAAATATGTTTGAAAATAACTCAAAACTGAGTTATTTCCCGTGAAAAGTGTATAAAATGGAAATAATGATATTAAAAGTTGCAGAATTCTGTGAGAAATTGATATTTATCTTACTAAAATTGGAATGTTTTTTTCCCTAAATATATTGGCTCGACTATGATTAAGATGTTTATAATTATTGTTTCTTGGTGTACTTTTATATTGTTCCTTGTTAGTTGCTATATTTTCTACATTATCTTCTTCTTTTTTATATTTGTTGTAATTGTACTAAGAGTCCTTCAAAAACAACATCTCTACAACGTAATGATAAGTTCTACATATACATTCTACCCAACCCCAATTTCACTTTCACTTATATGCAGATGTTATATTGCATAAAAATATCACTCATTCAATAGTCTTCAACAAATTGTGGAAAATAGTTTTGGTGAAAATTGTTTTTGGTAGAATAATCTTACTGGGACTGTGTGGCTACATCACCCCTCCATAAATGAAAAAACAAAAAGGAAGAAAAAGATAACAACAACATTTGTGTAATTCTACAAGTTTATTATGTAGGATATATTTTCGATAAAACCTTAACTCAAAAAAAGTGTAATCGAATAAGGATTTAAAGAAAAATTACGACAATAATATTGTATATAAAAGTTTTGTTCTTTTATTTTTGAAAGTGATGAAGAATCTTTTCCTTTTAGTGATGCTATTGAGGTACCATGAAAATAAAGTTAATTTTGATAGCTCCCAACCTTGTTGACTAGGTTTCTAGTTATGCAAAAAGAATATGATACCACATTCCTATTGAGTTCACTTCACTTGTAAAGATTCTCTGACGATTTCTTACTTTAAATACTTTCATCTTTACTTTCAACATGTTTCCCACATTCAATACTTTCTTTACTAGGCAAACTTTCTCTTCTCTTTGAAACCTCCACAACTAGTAACAACTTTTTACACATTAATTATGAAAGTGACACTCAACTAAATGCTTGCAAACCAATTGATTCTTATGTTAATCTAACCCAAATAAGACTCCAAGGCGTAAAAAAAGAAAATGAACATTAACATATCAAAGGACAAATAATTAAAGCAACTAAATAAATCTTACAAGTTAATGAATCTTGTGGTAAAAAAATATGTTACAAGCTTCTCTTAATTAAAGTTTATACATGAATTAAATATCAGTTTTGAACCACCCGAACAACGTAACTTAAAATCATGATACGTTAGGTATTTTTACGTGATGAAACTAAAAATGAAACAGGAAAAAATAAATCAGAACGCCCGAAAAAGTTCAGATGCATTTCCCAACATGTACTTTTCGCCATACAATGAATGTGAAAAAAACATAAAATAAACCGCTCCGTTTCCGAAAAGATAAACTATGCAAATAGGGTACTCCTCACAGTTTTCACATAATAAATAAATAATTATTAATGACAAACTATGAAGTTTTTTTTTCTATTTCAGAAATAATAATCGTGAAGCCAAAAGAAACTTCACATAACTAGACAACTAATATCAATTGTGTTAAAGACATGTAATAAAGTTTTTCCGTTACATATGATAACTTAGAGTATGAGTGTGTCAAGTGCTAAATTATTTAATTTTTGAAGGTAGAATATATAAAATAGAATTTAGATATTAAGAACTTATATGTAAATTTATAATATAATTAACAAAATTCAGAATATTTAAATATTTAGGGTTTAGCTAAAGTGCTTGATGCCAAGGTGATATCTACAATGATGCAGTGTAACTGAACTAAATGCGGCGAAATACATCCAATTTTAAAATAGGAAAAAAAAAATAGCAACATATAATTAAATGACAATAAATAAGGAAAAAATTCTATGGAATCTTCAGATCTATTATCGGGAAAACATCAAATTCTACGTACATTAAGAAAATCCAACAAAAAACAACTAAAATATTAGGTTAATTTCTTCGCTTGTTAAGTCAATTAATTTATTATATCAATTTTTTATTTTTTATTTTTAAAAAAACCTTTGTAACACTGGCGTGAAATCCTAGAAATCAACCCTAAAAATATATTAAAAAAAAGAAGTTTTTTTTAGGTGGAAGCAGGAGGCGCATCGGAGCTTATCATGAACAGTTGCCCGAATGGGAGTACCTGTTAACGGCAGAAA